AGTGTGTCGACGAGGGTTGCGTACCTTATACTCAGAATCACCAAACGGTATTCGCTGAAGGTCATACAGGTTTACGCACCAACCTCGGCACACCCCGATCAGGAGGTGGAGGAAATGTATGAGGATATCTCTAGAGCCATGCATTCCTCCAAAACCCAATATACGGTGTTAATGGGAGACTTCAATGCAAAACTAGGCACAAGAGAGAACGGTGAGGTGAAAGTGGGGAAATTTGGAATAGGGCAACGGAACCCAAGGGGCCAGCAGTTGGCCGACTTCATGGAGAAAGAGGGACTCTTTATGATGAACTCTTTCTTCCAGAAGCGGCCCCACAGGAAGTGGACCTGGTCGAGCCCCGACGGTTCGACAAAAAATGAGATTGACTTCATTATGACGACCAGACGACAACTGTTCAGTGATGTCTCAGTGATCGCGAGGGTGAAAACCGGCAGCGATCACCGAATGGTTAGAGGCACACTGAACCTAAACGTTAAGTTGGAGAGGTCTCGTCTAATGAAGTCAACGCTCCGTCCCCCTCGTGCTCTAATCCAAAGTCCCGAAACCTTTCAGCTCGAGTTGCAAAACCGTTTTCAGTGCCTAGAAGACTGCAATGAAGTGGACGATTTGAATGACAAGCTCGTGGAAACTGTCCATGCGGTCGGAGCTAAGTTCTGCAAGACCCGCCGCAGAAGAACACAAAAACTCTCCGATCACACTCTTAATCTCATGGCTGTTAGACGAGAGATGAGGCTACATTCTTCAACAGATTTGACAGCATACAGGCAACTGAACAGACAGATCTCCAAATGCATGCGGCGGGACTTACGCAACTTCAATACAGCTCGTATTGAAGAAGCGATCGAGCGGAACCAAGGCTCCAAAGTCTTTGCCAGAGATCTGTCTGCCAGAAAGAGCCAACTGTCAAAGCTGAAGACCGAATGTGGCAGCATCGTTTCCGGGGCACCTGAGATTTTGAGTGAGATTGAGAGGTTCTATGGGCAGCTGTACACGTCATCGTTGGAGCCACACGCAAGTGTGAGTAACGATCCAAGAGCGAGTCTTATCCGACATTATTCCGATGATATCCCGGACGTCAGTCTGAGCGAGATTAGAATGGCCCTCCAGCACCTTAAAAAAAAAGGCAAGGCCCCAGGCCAGGATGGAATTACAGCGGAGCTTCTGAAAGCTGGTGGAAAACCGGTACTTGAAGTCCTTCAGAAGCTCTTTAATTCCGTCCTCCATGGTATGGCATTACACCGGAGGCGTGGAGCAGAAGTGCGGTGGTCTTGTTCTTCAAGAAAGGCGACAACGCTCTCTTGAAGAACTACAGACCGATTTCCCTTCTGAGCCGCGTCTACGTGCTGTTTTCGAGAGTCATTACGAATCGTCTCGCGCGCAGACTTGACGACTTCCAGCCTCCCGAACAAGCCGGATTCCGAAAAGGCTTTAGCACCATAGACCACATACATACCCTTCGGCAAATTGTACAGAAGTCCGAGGAGTACAATTTGCCACTATGTCTGGCGTATGTGGACTATGAGAAAGCCTTTGATTTCGTCGAAATTTGGGCGGTGCTGCAGTCCCTTCAGCGATGCCAAGTTGACTGTCGGTATATCGAAGTGTTGAAGTGCTTGTACAGTAGGGCTACGATGGCTATCCGAGTACAGAACCAGAGTACGAAACCTATCCAATTGCAGAGAGGTGTAAGACAGGGTGACGTCATATCCCCGAAACTCTTCACCGCTGCATTGGAAGATGTTTTCAAGCTTCTGGACTGGAAAGGATACGGTATCAACATCAATGGCGAGTACATCACTCACCTTCGATTTGCCGACGATATAGTCCTTATGGCAGAATCGCTGGAGGACCTAAGCACTATGCTCAATGACCTCAATAGTGTTTCCCAACGGATAGGTCTTAAGATGAACATGGACAAAACAAAGATCGTGTTTAATGTCCATGTCACACCTATGCCGGTAGTTGTTGGGAACACTAAGCTCGAAGTTGTTGACGAGTATGTTTACCTGGGACAAATAGTCCGACTAGGTAAGTCCAACTTCGACCGAGAGGTCAATCGACGGATTCAACTCGGTTGGGCAGCGTTCGGGAAATTACGGCACATCTTCTCGTCAGGTATACCTCAAAACTTGAAAACGAGACTGTACACCCAGTGCGTGTTGCCAGTGATGACATACGGAACTGAGACGTGGTCCTTCACTGCTGGCCGGATGAGGAAGCTCAAGGTCGCTCAGCGAGCTATGGAGAGGGCTATGCTCGGAGTTTCTCTGCGTGATAAACTCAGAAATGAGGATATCCGCAGTAGAACCAGAGTGACCGACATAGCCCAACGGATTAGTAAGCTGAAGTGGCAATGGGCCGGCCATATAGCTCGAAGAACCGACAACCGATGGGGAAGAAAGGTTCTCGAGTGGCAGCCTCGTACCGGCAGGCGAAGTGTAGGGCGTCCCCCCACTAGATGGAGTGACGACCTGGTAAGATTTGCAGGAAGTCGATGGATGCAGGTGGCTCAGGACCGTGCTTTGTGGCATTCTTTGGGGGAGGCCTATGTTCAGCAGTGGACTTGTGAAGGGCTGTAATGATGATGATGATGCTTTTCTATAAAAAGTTGCAATAAATTTTAAATCACGGACCTATTGGTTTGTTTCACTTTTCACTTAATTAGTGAAAAACAAGATGGACTGATCTAAAAGTTTACTTTCTTGTGTAAAAAGTGCTATTTAGAATTTTATGCAAATGATAATTAAAGTTTCTATATAAATAAGTGTAACATAGCGGGTATTATATTCAATGGTAGCGGCCATCCATATTTGCAAAGCCAGCATCATTTTCTGTACAGAAACCAGCAAAGTGTTGCTCAAGGCACTATAAACAAAGCAGCTGATAAAATGTTACACTCATAATTGTTAACAACAACTGTTTCCGCAAATGGTCTTATAGATAATAATATCTATTCCGCCGTGTTAGGTGCAGGAGCTATTATTAGAAGGAGAAGAGGTAAAATTTTGTTTTAGAAATGCGCAATCAATATTGTTTTGTCTGCAATTGAGCATAAAATAAAAAATAACTTCAGCCAAAGAGCATAACTGGCATTATACTCGGGCCCATCAATTGGTATGGAAAAAAATAATTTTACCAGGTTTCAAAAATCAATCAAATATCAAAAAAACATAAATATTAAAATCAAAAAATGTATATATGTATGTCTATACATACATATAATGATTTATGGCCGCTTAGTAACTGACGGTGACTCACTATAACATCCTACAGTCACGCCGAAACTAAGAGGAGAGAATCACTGTATGAAAGGTAATAATTTATTGCGGAAATTTTGTGATAAAATTAAAAAAATTACAAACTTATCCAAGTTAATTTAACATAGTCTAACTTATCTTTATGCGTTACAAAAATAATAAAATAGTGAGATGGCGTCAGTTTTTAAGAAGATATAACAAAAATAAACAAAAAAATAAATTTCAAAAAAGTTCAGTATTCAATTGATTATATACCGCTGACACTTAATCACGCTTTTGGAAACCAAGCCAGTTGTAAACAATACTTGTGTGAAAAGACAAAATCTTCTTTTCAAATTTCCGCCGAGTTTTAAGTAGAAGGCCAAATAGGTCACGTGTCAATTTTAATTAAATATATTTTATATGAAGTGCATGTCAGGGGGTTTTCATGCTGGCCTACCTTTCCGGTGATCCTGTTATGGAATACGGGTACGCGACCCCGGCTCCCCGAGCTACTGTTATTCTCATACCTTTCCTGCCGAGATAACAGTATCCTTACACCTATGCTCCTACCCCCAAACTTCTTTTTCCTTTTCCCAAAATGGTAGCTTCCTCTACCAGCAATAGCATACCCAAAGAGGGTTGGTGTCAGGCAGGCGGCCGACTGTAAAACTTTTGCCAAATCCCATGCAGTAAATGAATAGTATGAGTTGTGGGACATATGACAGGGCTAGGGCGTACCCCGCAGGCGACGCGCAGGGGCAGCACCCGGCTCCTGTGGGAAGTGGGCAAGGGTTGTCGCACCTTACGGAGCGGGTGCGACGTAAGAGGCGAGCCCGGAGAGAGAAGAATGTCAGAGTGAGGTTTGCAAGCTGGAATATAGGTACGATGACTGGAAGAGGAAGAGAGTTAGCAGATGTTTTGAAACGACGAAGAGTGAATGTTGCCTGTTTGCAGGAAACAAAATGGAAGGGCAATAAAGCAAGAGAGATTGGGGTGGGATACAAGTTTTATTATTGTGGAAGTGATGGGAAGCGAAATGGAGTAGGAGTTGTGTTAGATAGTGGAATGAAAGAACGAGTGGCAGATGTGAAAAGAGTAAATGACAGAATGATAGTTGTTAAATTAATGATTGAAAACAAAGTAGTGAATGTTGTAAGTGTGTACGCTCCGCAAACAGGCTGTGAAGAGAGTGTGAAAGAGAAGTTTTGGGAGGAATTTGATTGTATGATGATGGGAATACCTGAGCGTGAGGATGTTTATATGGGAGGAGATTTTAATGGACATGTAGGGAGAGTGAATGACGGGTATGAAAGAGTACACGGTGGATAGGGGTACGGAGTGCGGAACCGTGAGGGGGAAGTTCTTCTGCAAGCAGCATGTGCTTTCGACCTGGTTGTAGTAAACACGTGGTTCCAAAAACGAGATCAGCATCTTGTTACTTATAAAAGTGGCCACCACGCGACACAGATCGACTATCTTCTGATAAGACGGAACCAAATCAAGAGTGTAAAAAACTGCAAAGTGCTTCCAGGTGAAGACTTAGTATCCCAGCACCGAATCCTGCTGGCTGACATCTGCTTAACTGTTCGCCTCAACAAACATAAGGATCGTCCCCCACCCAAAATAAAGTGGCATTTGTTGTATAAGGAGGGGTATGCAAGTGAATTTAGAGAGCTAGTTGTAAACAAGATGATAGAGATGGGTGATATGGAAGGAATGAGTGTGAATGAGTGCTGGAAGGAAATGGCTGATTGTATCCGAAGTGTGGCAAGGAAGGTGTTAGGAGAAACAAAAGGGAAGCGTATGATAGATAAGGATGGGTGGTGGTGGAGTGAAAGTATTAGAGAAGTTTTGAGAGAAAAGAAAAATGCCTTCAAAGAATGGCAGAGCGTAGAAGACCAGAATGAATCCATAAAAGAAAGTAAGAGAGGGGTGTATAAAGAATGTAAGAAGAGAGCGAAGAAGGAAGTTGCTATTTGTAGGGCAGAGGCGCACGATAAATTATATCGGTCCCTTGAAAGCCCCGAAGGTCAAAAACGACTTTTTCAAATTGCAAGAGCGAGAGAAAGGAATGGAAGAGATGTTTCACATGTAAAATGTATAAAAGATGATTCTGGAAGGATTTTGACTGACGATGAAAGTATAAAGAAGCGATGGAAGGAGTATTTTGAGAAATTGATGAATGAGGAGAATGAATGGAATGGTATGCTTGAAAACCCACCAGTGAATATGGGCTTAGTGAGAGAAATTAGTGTGGAAGAAGTAAAAATGGCTGTTAGGGTTATGAAGAATGGGAAGGCGGTCGGCCCAGATGGAATACCAGTAGAAGTGTGGAAGTTGCTGAGGGCGGATGGATGGAAGTGGTTGAGTTTATTTTTCGGTAAATTGTTGCAGGAAGAACAAATACCTGAGGAATGGTGCAGTAGTATACTGGTTCCCATTTTTAAAAACAAAAGAGACGTTCAAAACTGCAGCAGTTACCGGGGAATAAAGCTCATGTCACATACGATGAAAGTCTGGGAAAGAATAATAGAGAGAAGAATGAGAGAAGAGTGTGAGATAACACAAAACCAGTTCGGATTCATGCCCGGTCGAAGTACGACAGATGCCATTTTCGCATTACGCCAATTGTGCGAAAAGTACAAGCGCGTGCATAAAGATCTGCACATGGTTTTTGTCGACCTTGAAAAGGCGTACGATCGGGTTCCCCGTGAGGTCTTGTGGTGGGCGTTGAAGATGAAAGGTATGCCTGGGAAGTATGTGAGGTTGGTCCGTGCTATGTACAGAGCATCCCGTACATGTGTACGATCTGCCGCGGGAACTACGGGCAGTATCGATGTGGCGGTAGGGCTGCACCAAGGGTCGGCACTGAGCCCTTACCTCTTCCTACTGATTATGGACGCTTTGACGTCGGACCTGCAGGATGAGGCACCCTGGTGCATGCTCTTTGCCGATGACATCGTGCTTGTCGGGGAAGAAGGCATCGAGGTACAGAGCAGACTGACGGGGTGGCAACGGAGGCTGGAAAGTGTTGGCTTGAAGATCAGCAGATCCAAAACCTAATATCTGTGCTGTGATTTCGGCGGTCTTTCCAGTCCTGTACCCATGTCGTTGGATGGCGCTATACTGCCTATCTGCTCAGATGTCAAGTACCTCGGTTCCCTCATTCAAGGCGACGGCGGAATAGATAGAGCTGTGCAGCATAGGATTAACGCAGGGTGGATGAAATGGCGACAGGTCACAGCCACAACGTGCGATCCCCGAATGCCAATAAGGCTGAAGGGGAAAATTTACAAATCGATCATCCGACCTGTCGTCATGTATGGAAGTGAATGCTGGGCCGTCAAGAAGAAGGATGAAAATAGACTGCATGCGAATGAAATGAGAATGTTACGATGGATGTGTGGTGTGACAAGGATGGATAAGATAAGGAATGAGTATATAAGAGGAAGCCTGAAAGTAGCGCCAGTGGTAGAAAAGGTGAGAGGAAGCAGATTGGCATGGTTTGGGCATGTGATGCGGAGGAATGAAAGTCATGTCACAAAACGAGTGTTGAATATGAATGTGGAGGGACACACGGGCAGAGGAAGGCCGAATAAAAGATGGATCGATTGTGTGAAGAGTGATATGAGAATGAAAGGAGTAAGTATGGAAATGACGGCTGATAGAGAGGAATGGAACAAAAAGATTTACTGCGCCGACCCCAGATAATGGGAAATGGTTTAGAGAATGATGATGATGATGATATTTTATATGAAGTGATCTTGACTATGTTTCATCAATTAACCATTGGTAAAAAATGAAACAGGAATTTTACGATTGTGTTTACAAAAAACATTATTAGTTGAACCTTGCAGCTTGTTCATTATGTTTATTATAAATACCTATAAATTTATATATTATTAATAAATAGTTCCCGTAATATTTTGGATAATTTTTTATTTTGCCCTATCTGCAATGTTCTAGGCTCTATAGAAAATGTGGCGTATGACATGACTGACAATCTTTCGAACGTTTATCTAGGTACAAAGATGTTTTACGTTTTCGTCGCCTCCACGTGATATTTTTGTCAGCATAAGGTACCCTTCTATATCTGAAACGAATATAAATATTGCTACAAAGTAAAGTAATATGCTATACAAGTCCCTCTTCTGGGCACAGGACTCTTTTTTTAATTTCTGAGAGGGTTTTAGGGCAAGGAAATTCCCGCCGTGCTTCCCCAATGCGTGTTGACGAAAATTGCAATTACAAATTTCATTTGTGCTGTCGGGGATCAAACCCGGGAAAATTTACAGCGAACGCTTTGACCCAGATTTATTAATACGATACAAATAAATACGATTTAACATATATAATAAAAAACTCTTACGTACTTGAAACTTGAACACTTGATAGCTCGTGACGCCTACCGGACAAAGCTACAGCACAATGTAATTGAAGATTCGTAACCGCGACATAATTCTAAGTGATGCGCAAGCAGTATGTCACTTATATAATTGTCATCTCTGCATTCTATTAATCTTTGCACTTTTATAAGTAATACAGAACGTAGTTGCTAGACGGTGTTGACATCGGCTAAAATCTCTGCGATCGCCGTTTCGTCAAGGTCATTCAGGCTAGTTAAAGCCTTAAGCGGGAAATTCGAAAGATGACCTGCAGGGTCAACCGTATTTCATATATTTTTCTTATTATTAGTCAGTGCTTGACTGCAATGATTGAAATGTTTATACGATTGCTCTACAATTATGTACTCGTAGATGGATATTAGATAAGGCTAAACGAATTCATTTTACACAGACAAAATCGCGTCCATAAACTCATGAATAGATAAATAAATTTAGTGCAATCAACAGTAATAGCTTACACACATTGTAAATTAACAGTTCCCCAAAAAGTTTGGAGTGGAGAGAGATAAAGTTATACGTGGTAGACCCAGGTATGAAATTAGTCGGAATATATATTGATGTTTATGGGCAACGGCATCCACTTACCATCAGGTGGACTGTGTGCTCATTTGCTATCCTTATTCTACAAAAGAGAGTGATGATAAAAGTTATATACACAATTGTTAGGGTATATTACATTATTACACGTAGCACAGATAATACATACGAACATAGTTTTGGACGATCCCCATTAGATAGTGACGACCTGATGAAATATTTAAGGACTCGATGAAAGCATAGCGTTCAAGACATACCTATGCATCTTTGAGGGAGGCCTATGTTCAGCAGTGGACTTACAACAGGAAGATGATGATTATAAGTATAAGCACATTTAACTAAATTTTTAAAACCGCAAAACTTTACCTTTAAAATACTATGCAGTCAAGTTATTAACAAACAGAAACGAATTGAATCAAATTACGAAACAAGCGTAACATTAATTTTCAACGACGAAATTTAGACATTTACGGATTAGAACTCTAAAAACACCTAACACACTTTTGCGTTTAGCATTTTGAGACAACAATCAGCGGCGGGAATTCGTGACGTTCCACGAACTGCAATAAAAAGACTTCGGACCACCTGTTTCATTGTGCAAACAACAATGCACGTTTCTTGCATTGTTGCTAATCGAGATATTATACACATGAATGAGGTTTAAAAGATCAGTCCAAATCACAGTTTTGTCTTATTTAGTACAGTAGATATGCCAGGTGTTTAATAAAAATGAAGGTACTAGTCGGCCTCGTCAGTTGCTTACTCTATCGATATGTGAACCCCGAAATAAGAGACAGTGTGATGGTCAACAAGTAAGTGATTCCAACTAAAATAAAATTTTACCTAACTTTGCCATCTTACATCGTGACTAAATTCGAGATACAATTCATAGGATCTGAATTCTTGCCGATCCACAACTGTCCGATTTACCAGAATTTTTCCTCTTCGCACAACTTCTTTGTGAAATCGACTACCAGAAGCAATTTTTACGGGCCGATACGACTGAGAGACCTTTAAGAAAAGATCCTTTCCCTTTTAAAAAAGCCGATTACGCCCCTGCAATTCCCCTGGTATTACAGCTGTTGCTCCGGTAGTCACTTACCATCAGCCAGTTTCGTTCTTGTGCATACTCATTTGCACATTTATCTATAAAAAGAAACAAAAATGTTATTCGTGTTTATTCAATCTACTCATTTTACTTAATGGAATCACTCGATACATCTTGCGTCCACTAATGCTGACAGTGGTATAAGTGTCTCATATTAATATCGCGACTCGAGATGCTTGTCGTTACCTGACGGTATAATAAGCCCGTCAATTAGACGACAAGGTCATTAATTAAGCACCAGCATTAAATTAAACTAACCTTTTAATAGTTTTAAAACTCCACTCCTAAGAGTAGCAAATAAACAATTTCTTTTTTAGCAATTTGAAGTCGGTTTTTAATTTTTGTTAAAAGTTATAATTATTGTTAACACTTGATTTCGCTCACCATCTTATGTGTGTACCGCGGGATTGAATTGAGAACCTTCTTTTTTATAGGAGGGGGGGGCGAACAAGCATTACGGCTCACCTGATGGTATGTGACTACCGCCACCCATGAACAACTGCAACACCAGGGGAATTGCAGATGCGTTATCGGTCTTTTTAAAAGGAGTACGCTCTTTTCTTGAAGATCCCTAAGTCGTATCGGTCCGGAAAAATCTCTGGCGGTAGTCGATTCCACAAGGAAGTTGTGCTAGAAAGAAAACTTCTTTTAAATCGTACAGTGGTGGACCGCCAGTCATCCAGTTTCGAAATGGGCTAATTATGTAACACGTTTTACACTTACATAGACTTATCAAGGTAAAACCAGTAGGCAGCAATATACAAAGAAGCTTCGTACCTCTAACGGAGATTCCACCACCACACATTCATGGAGCGTCCGGTCGGCGGCATATGGAAAACGAGTGTACTAAGAAGCCAACAGGAAAAGAAGTGCACGATGGACCCCGAGTAGAATTATTTGGCGATTACTACGATGACGGAGGGGCAAAGACCGTGGCCACGGTGATCATACCAGATCACATCGATCGTAAGTTGTCTTATTTGAAGAACCATGTTTCTTTAATTTTTATGTATCTTATAATCGTAATTATTAAAATTAATTATTTACAACACCAAAATTGAGTAACGAAAGTTACTTCAACCATAATATCATTTTCTTAACTAGATAAGTAAATTTAGTGTAAGGGGAAATACACCAAGTATTTTACCAAATGTTGGTAAAAGGATTTTTACCAAATATTCGTCTACCAGAATGTACTGCACGCAGGCGAACACAAACTCCCCTAACTAGTGAGGTACAGCAGTTTTATTCATGCGAGGGTTTCGCCTGCCCAGTGTCTTAAGTATGGGCAAATCTCCCAGATAATACCGACTGGTATTTTCCTATAAAAACTCTGTCTAGCAGTGAACGTAAAATCTATTGATGTTAAGTACTACAAATATTTACGTATGAATGGAATAAAATATTTTTAGTGTTCAATATAGATTATTAAATGTTAAATAGTCATTTTTTATTTACTTCTGGTTCTAAGTGGCTGATATTATTATATAAAAAATACAATAATATTATACAATTATTTATTTGAGTTATTATAGAAACAGTTTGATAGCGATCAAATCATTTCCAGTGCCAGGGGCTATTTTCATTCAAGAATACCCTATTATTGTAAACTCTGCCTCGTTTGCTTAGTCCCGACTACTGATCATATAGTCCCAGGCTTGAATCTTGCGTTTTTCTGCAAAAAAGATCTCAGTAGCAGCCTGGCATCAGAAAGTTTTTTTTTATAGGATAAGGACGACAAACGAGCTGTGTGTGCTGTGGCCCTTAGACATCTACATCTATCCTCGATTACGAACCAAAATGCAGATGCGTTGTCACCCGTGAGGACTAAGATGAAATGCCTTTTTTCCAGTAAAAAGGGTCTCCGGTTCTCTACACTAACCATATGAAATACAGCAGCGTTAAGCTGCTATCTTAAGCTGGTATTCTGTGAGAGCGTGGTCCTTCCCCTGTCGAGCCGACCCATTCGTGCTACAACTATACTACTAATATAGCTGCAGCATGGCTCTATGGCAGTGTTTCACTCTTGTACCTCGAAAAGTCTTTGGTTCTGCGCCCGATCTCTCTCCGGTTGTATTAGATTGCCGTCCCATTTCCGTTTCCCGAAAGGAAAGTGAGGTAACTAATGAGAGAACACTATAATCCTGTCCTGCGCAGATGGCAAGTCTTCTTTGAGCCTAGCCGCCGTGACCGAAATTTGATCTGAAGGACATTGTTACATTATTGTTATATTATACACGCTTTTCATACAGATTTCGTAAAAATGATCTTTTTAAATTTATTTATTGTTTAGGTTGTAAAAGCGTATATAGCATTTACCTATAAACGAATTATTAATTCTGTGAAATCAAGTAACTGACATTACAAGTTTATGTAAAAAATAGCCGACTGGTGCCAACATAATATGATGTTCATCGCCCTATGTTATCTAGTGAGTCATGAAGACAAACTATAGGATCAACGGGTAAGTTGCCTAAGAGGCTGGCACTGCGGTCGCTATTTTGCCTGTCAGCCGTGGTGACTGCGAAAAATCCTTTAAACTTGAAAGATGTATTTGTTCGTTAATGTAAGCAGGTTAACTAAGATTACAAAATGATGGCGGCGAAAAATCTTTTTCTATGATGCCTACAAACTGATTTTTGAAGTTATTCTTCTTTTGGGGCGTTTGGGAAAATTGTGAAAGTGAATTTTTTAGAATGCGTGCGCACACCGACAGTTAAAAACGACACCAGGAAGTTGTTACGATGCGCGTGCACACTGACACCTCAAAGCGACAATTTCATTGGGTAACTCTCTCTCAAGTTTTCGTGGGAACTAATAACTATATTTAAGGTTAAAGGCTAAAGAAGTATAACTTCTTACGTGCGTACATAAGTACACACACACGTTTTTTATACTAATTCCATTTAGAAACTTTCAAATACATAATCCACCGTACCCTTATATTTATTAAATAAATGCAAATAAAAAAATTACTATCTTGAGTTGAATTCTTCTACAATTAATTTATTTCATACATATAGATGCCTCATCTGGCACACTCCATTAAAAATGTTAGTCATTGGCCTGTTTTTAACATGATACTCATAAACAGGGGTTTTTCTTCATTAAAAATCAAACTTATCCAGTAGAATGTGCTCAGAACGCAGTCTAAGAGTCATCATAATTTGTTGCATACTTTCAGTTAATGATTTTATGCCTTATGGTCTTTCGTTAAAGTATTCTTTCCAATGTCAAAGTTGCAATAACTGATATTATGTTCCATCTAGGAGTACTTTCATGTTCCTTCCAACGAATAATATCCCCATCATCCTATATAATATTCTGCCTTCGCAATGATCATGAACAAAGGAATTTGCCTCAAAAACACTTTTTAGAACGAAGTTCCTTATCGGACAGTACAAATTTGGCGGATGGGAGCTAGACGAAAAAAGTGTAAGATTTTTCCGCCGCGACCCCTTCTGACGTAGTATAGACGGCCTTAGCGGCTACAGCGGTGAAATGGAATAATATCCATCTCCCTCGCACTTTTTCTTATCTTGCCATGAAAGAAATATTATTTTAAATGACGCTTCATTTTAATAGACGCTAGTAATTCATTTATTTGTATTTGTAAATCAATAATATAATACGTTTATCAATAATAATATACTACGAAAGGAACTTCGTTCCAACCGAGTGTTCCATGACACCCACGCATGTTTGTTTTGTTTTTATTCACTACGTGACAAGACTTCTTTTCTGCCTAAGTGTGTATCTGGGTAGGTAGGGAGCCAGTACAACCACATGCTGTTAGACCTTTCAACTTAGTCCTCATAGGTGACAACTCAACATTAGCCTTCTTTCTTTGAAGTTGGTAGCAGAAGCTCATTGGTTTCAGTAGCCACTTACCAACAGGTGAAATGTAAGTTTATTTCTTCACATTAATTTCATAAAAGAAAACTATTCCAGACAAGCATTTCGAAGTGACATCACAAGTACCCTACCTTACGGTGGGACACATTGAAGCTCTTGGCTACCACCCAAGCACGATCAAAAGCGATCACCCCAGCGAATGTGAAAAGATTTATCAGGATCATCTAGAAACCCTGTACTCCGATGAGTCGACGGACTACTCTGAAGAGTCATTGGAGATGGCGAGGATGCCGCTATTCCCTGGAGGTGTACCGCCAGCGTCTGCTGAAAAGCGATTGGAAAACATGTACAGCGAATTGGAGTAACATGAAGAGTTTTGATACTTTTGTATTTTCTTATTGGAATAAATTTTTATTTTTTATCTTGTTGTACTTACACTAAGCCTTTAAAACGATAATATTTAATCCTATTAGTGGCGCTATAAAGTAATTATTTAGCTTATCTTGTTGAATAGATCCATAAAAGAAGAATATTGCTACAGGGTTCGGTCCTTAGACGCTAGCATCCAAACTTTAGTTGCGTATAATAAGTTTTGATCCATCCATCCATTACAGCCTGTAAAAGTCTAACGCTGAACGTAGGCCCCCCGTGTAGATTTTCTGATAGGATTTTGCCACAGTTCCCACGCTTAGCAGGCGGGTTGGCAACTGCAGTCCTTTATTATTTTGAGTTATCAGAAATATGCCACCATTCTGCCCATCTCCTTCCTGTTTCAGTTTAGTGTGGAGTAGAAGATATTCTTACACCGCCACTACACGGCTGAAAATATCTACCTAGTTTTAATATAATTAATAGAGTCAGGCGTTACTTTGCGGAAGTCCATTATATTAAAGATGGTAAAAAAATACTTCGCGAACATCCGCTCGATAAAATAAAATGATGTGTCATACGTAGTTTGAAGAGCTCGCTAGTTTAAAGAGTTAGCTAGTTTGTAGAGGCGAAACACGTGTCGTATTGTCGTCAGTGGTGTGTCTTTCCTAGTGTAGTGGTGTTGAGAGTAGTGGTGCTGGGATTATTGATAGTGCACGCTATTGAGGGAGGGCGGGAGGTGCTCTTCAAACTAGGTAAGACACATCATTTTGTTTTATCGAGCGGATGTACGCGAAGTAATTTTTTACCAACTCTACCTAGTTTTATCAAAATAGCTTTTTCTTGAAATAATTTCCTCGTTTTTTCTCAAGGTTACACATTAGAAAGAGCTCGTAAAGCCCCTTAACGTAGTAAGGATATAGTTTCAAAACAAAGAACAGATTCTCAGAGTAAATATCTAAACGAAATAGAAAGTAAATAATACGATGAAAGTAAGCGAAGTATACTAAATGAGTTATTCCAGTCCCTGTTAACCGTCTGATTTTATGCACAAGTCAAGCAAATAAGAACTTAACCTTCTTGCTAGATTCACAATATATACAAACCCGAGCTTAGATTCAATCATAATTGCTGAAAGCATCGCCGAAGTCATAAACTATGAATTATCTCTTAAATTAAAGAAAACACATTTCTAAAGAAGAATACTTAGGATTTTAAATAAAAAGTCCAATAACATTAACGTACTGATTCTATTTTAAATTATTTTACTTCCTACTACTAAATACGATTCCATAAATATCTCATATCACAAATCCTTAAACAAATCAGTTCCTTATTGTCTAAACAGGACCAGCTTGAAGGTTGTTTGGCAATTTTACATCTTTATCTTTCTCATCGAATGCCTCATCGGTGTCATCATCTTCAAAATCATCCATGTCTAAAGGATTCCTAGAAGTCAATAAATATAAAAATTGAATTAATAAGGCAGACTTTTACGTTGATACTAGCTCCATCTCACAGTCATTAAAAGCACTATTTTCCCCAATATTTTTACACATTTTATTAAAAAGATGGTGTCACAGCTGACATTTATTATTTATACCGATGCCTATTTACATTAATTGTTAATTTCTCAGTATTCCCGTTAGATACTGTAAAACGAATATTACTTTTGTTATCTATAGGTTATAAAAAATAAAGCGATATATATTTCATTAAGTTACGCCACAATTCGTGGTGGGCCCATTCTCCATACAAAAAAAATAGTCTCAAAAACTTGTTAAGCAGTCACAGCTTGTAGGACGCAATTTTGCGTCCTACAAGTTGGAATCCTCCCCAACGATATCCTTAATTTTATTATTTGAATAATTAGTGACTTAATACTTTCGAATATATAGCCTTTTATTTAGGAGCATTTTAGCTATTATATATTATAGTAGCTATATATTATAGTAGCCTCCCCTCGAAAACTCCGGTATTGTCATACGGAGTTAGAAACATATCGCTCCAACGAAATCGGATTTATTCATATGTCTTATACAGGATTCTGGCTTGAAGATTATATATTATAGAATATCTTCAGAACGCCTATGTCTTTCCCTGTGAAATATGTGTCAAGTTTTAGTGACCAATGATTCCTTACTAATTATTAGCATAATAAAATTCAGAATAACTTTGGGAAGGATTCCAACTTGAAGGATCTGCAATTTTTGGATAAATAATACAATATTTGGAGCCCGCGCCCGGTCGCACATTGTATACTGGCGCTGGTTGTCGAACCTTGATATATTTGTGTGTGTAAAATTGTAACACCTAAGGTACTTTACACATTTTCGGTGTAACATTGCATCCGTATTTTTAACTTCATTTTTCAAACTCGTTTAATATCAGGACTATATACAAATAAAGAATACTACTTACTTATTCCAGTCAATCTTATGTCGTCTCCTGAAAATAAATTAAAAACGTTTTTAAAATCAATGTAAATATTAAAATTAATGATATACAACATGCAATTCAAAAGATGTCACAGGAATTTATCTTTTATTTATTTTTTATAGGATAGGGTGACACACGAGCACACAGTCCACCTGATGGTAAGTGATTACTGAGACCCATAGACATCTACATCTATTACCCATAGACATCTACATCTATTATCTTTTATTGTGGAAGCATTTTACATATAATTATTGGATATGTACAAATATCCAAATCCGAAACATTTTTTCTACTCGTAGTTCTTGGTGGATATCCAACCCGTGTTCCACAGCGTCCATACGCTTAGCCACTGCGCTTGTGGCTTGATAAAGTCGTCACAGCAATGATATTAACATAACTGTTAGTTTAACAATGGTAGAGCCACGCGGCAGCTTTTGCTGCCGCACGGATGGGCCGGCTCGAACCGGGGTAGTACCACGACCTCACAGAAAACCAGCGTGAAGTAGAGATTTACCTCTGCGTTTCGCGTGGTGAGTGCAGGTGGCCGGAGACCCTTTTTACTAGAAATGAGGCATTCCATCTTAGTCCTCACGGGTGACAACGCATCTGCATTTTGATTTGTAATAGAGGATAGATGTAGATGTCTATGGGCCGCAGCAACCACTTACCATCAGGTGGACTGCGTGCTCGTTTGTCATCCTTATCCTATAAAAAAAAAACGAACACGTACTTCGAAACCAAAATTAATTACTATGACAGATGTGACACCCACAAAACCACAAATGGTTGTCAATTTTACTGAATTAATTTTACCGTGTAGTGGCGATATAGGAATATCCACTACCCCATATCCTGTGAGTTTCGTAAGAGGCGACAGAGGGAAACTAATCAGGAGATGGGCAGCAACGTCTTCCTAATAACGACTAATAATAAAAAACTGCGGTTGCCAACTCGCTTGCCAAGCGTGGCAACTATAACAAATATCTGCCCCCTATGAGGCAATCTATAGGGGAGGCTTAGCTTCAACGGCAAACTTAAATAGGCTGCAACGGTAACTATTAAATACCTGTTGGTTGCGATATAATCTTGGTCCATATACTCTTCAGATATCTCTACCGATTGTGGCTGACCCCGATGGTCTTGCAAAATGCCGAAATAGCGTGGTGCCCTCGTAACAGTAAATAGAAGGCCTGGAAAAATAAAAACATATCTATGATTACACAGCCAACAAGTTAGTCCGCGTGTTTGTCAAACAACACTCGCAAGTAAATTACACGCAATATATTTTGTTTCCTTGGAAGATAACTACAAGAAACAATCATTATTTATGTGGTTTACGCGTGAACAAAATCTTTGCGTGTTATTGGTACGAGCAGGCTCATAGTAGCTCGAGGGCAAACACGATCAAATTTCTGAAACACGTTCAAGATGTTGCGAATAAGGAAACGATGTGACCATCAGTAATACGATATATTAATATGTAGTACCATACTCAATACACAAAGGTACAGCAGTAGTAGACTCGCATTCCATTCCATTACAACCTATAAAAGTCCACTGCTTAACACAGGCCTCCTTCATAGATTACCTCATGGGGGAGATTTTGCCATAGTTGCCACGCATGGGAAGCGTGATGGCAACCGCAGTGTTTTAGACAGATGCTGCTGCCTATCTCCAATTTCAGTTTCCCTGTGTCGCCTCTTACGACACCCACGGGACGATATGGGGTAGTGGATATTCTCACACCGCCACTACACGGAGCTACTAAGTTGTAAATTCAACTCATATACTAAGTTGTAAATTTTTAGAAGTTGTAAATTTTTAGTTTCGCTTAGCGTATTAATTAGAGTACACGCTCGCACAGAATACCAGCCTGCAGCACCAACATAATGCTGTGTTTCGTGTGTTTCGTGTGACGAGAAGCGAAAAACCTTTTTACTGGTAACGAGGCATTCCACCTCTGTCCTTTTTTTTATAGTATAGGGTGACAAACGAGCACACAGTCCACCTGATGGTAAGTGGTTGCTGTGGCCCATAGACATCTACGTTTATGCTTAATTAAGAATTAAAATGCAGATATGTTGTCACCCCTGAGGACTAAGATGGAATGCCTCGCTTCAAGTAAAAAGGGGTCTTCGGTTCTCTACACTTACCATACGAAACACAGCAGCATTAAGCTGCTATTTTACGTTGGTATTCTGTGAGAGCATGGTCCTACCCCGGTCGAGCCGACCCATTCGTGTTACAACTATACCAGAAATATAGCTGCAGCATGGCTCTACCACGTATAAATTTATCTCTGAAGTATTAGTTATATTTTATATTAATTAGATTATAAATGAATAAAGCAAACTTCGGATATTCCTAAAAGTAGAATAAAAAGAAGTTTAACTTATAATTAAATCACAACTTATCAATGATGATGACACAGTCTCACTGTGTGAACATCTGCGTAAGAAATAATTTTACCTTAGTCCCAACAAGCGACATCGGGTGAGCGTAAGATTATTAACCATTAGGTGGACTGTGTAAGTACTCTTTATCATCCTAACTTCTATAAAAAAAACACACACAACAAGTATTATTATTCCTCAGTACCTTGCAATGTCTTATATCTTTTTATTTATAAAAGAAATAAAATTAACAAATTTTTACAACCGACTTCAATATAATTTTTTTATAGGATAAGGGTGACAAACGAGCGCACAGTCCACCTGATGGTAAGTGGTTGCTGCGGCCCATAGACATCTACATTTATGCTCAATTAAGAATCAAAATGTAGATATGTTGTCACCCCTGAGGACTAAGATGGAATGCCTCGCTTCCAGTAAAAAAGGGTCTCCGGTTCTCTACACTCACCATACGAAACACAGCAGCATTAAGCTGCTATTTTACGTTGGTATTCTGTGAGAGCATGGTCCTACCCCGGTCGAGCCGACCCATTCGTGCTACAAATATACCTACTACTAATATAGCTGCAGCATGGCTCTACCACGTAAGGATAACTCAAAGATTACTGGTCAGATCTTGATCAAATTTATATGGGACCACCTGGGAAGTATACCCCTTGAAACAAAAAAGAAATGTTCCAAATCGGTTCAGGTGTCTTCGAGTAATCGGTGAACATACATTTAAAAAAATGGCAAATTGAGAACATCCTCCTTTTTGAAGTCTTAGGTGGCGCCTAAACGATAAGAATAAAACGTAGGTTTTGCTACGTGGTAGAGCCATGATGCAGCTATATTATGGTTGTAGCAAGAATGGGTCGGCTCGACCGGGGAAGGACCACGCTCTCACAGAAAACCAGCGTAAAATAGCAGCTTAACGCTGCTGTGTTTCGTATGGTGAGTGTAGAGAACCGGAGACCCTTTTTACTGGCAAAGAGGCATTCTATCTTAGTCCTCACGGTTGACAACGCATCTGCATCTTGAGTCTTTATTGAGATAGATATAGATGTCTATGGGTCACAGTAATCACTTACCATCAGGTGGACTGTGTGCTCGTTTGTCACCCGATCCTATAAAAAAAAAGGTATTATAAAGTAGATAATACTTACTATCGTCAACTGCGTAAAATCCTTTAAAAAATATACACAATATTATTATCACTACTTGTAATTTCAATTGGTTTTCGCACATCTTACAAAAATATTAAACTGTACAATAATGACTGCTTACAATAGAAATTTAATTTGAATAATACTTTTTTCTTAAAAATTATTGTCAGTACTATTAGGTCATAATTGTGTAGGAGATTTGAGCTTGGGTGAAATTTCTGAGAGTTGAGCTATTGGTGGTATTTTAGTCTGATTCAAAAATTACAACTTCCGTTGTATTCAAAGTTTGAAAAATACGGTTCTGTTTATTAAAACGAAACTATTGTTTCAGTTTCGCGGCAAATCTTGATTTGAAGAACAATATTATGGTGTAACCGATAAACACGTGACTTGGGAATCACGACTTATGAAAACATTTTGTATTTTAACAGATTAAATATTTTGTTTTATTTCTTTTTTGTCAATATTAATAAAGCATATTTCAGGTCAGTTTTTACGAAACTAAACTGTTAAAATACTATTATTTTGAAATATTCTACACATATTTAAAACCAATGAAAAATATTATGTCTTGTGTAAAATATCGTATGACAAATTGTTATTAAAAAAATATATTGCATTTAATATTATATTCTATTAAAGTGTCCGTTTGTAATATGAAAATAACAGCTTTTTACTGAATATATATGAAAGTATATACGGTACTTATTACAAAAAAAATAATTTTTAAAATTTTCGTCTATCTGTTTGTTCCGGCTAATCTCCAAAACGGTTGGACTCATAGATAATATACTATATAGGGCAATTGGACTGATTTGGACGGGACTTACACTGGCAGATAGCTGATGTAATAAGAAGTAACTTAGGGTAATTTTATTTTAGAAAAGTAATTAGGTTTCAGCGCAAAAAAAAATAAGCCAATGAAATTGTGAACAAAATACGATTTAGATATGGAAGTATGATAATAAATGACTAAATATTATTTAATTGTTGTTTTTAACTAGTATATTATATATAATTTTGAGATATAAATTTTATGTAAAATGTTTCTAAGTTATAAAATATTATTTCGTATGTATATGTAGAGGTACGCTGCAGCTGTATTGTGGTTGCAGCACAAATGGGTCAGCTCGACCGAGGTAGGACCACGCACTCACAGAATACCAGCGTAAAATAGCAGCGTAGTCAGCTTAACACTGCTGTGTTTCGTATGGTGTGTGTAGAGAACCGGAGACCCTTTTTACTGGATAAGAAGCATTCCATTTTAACACATCTGCATTTTGATTCTTAATTAAGCATAAACGTAGATGTTTATGGGTCACAGCATGCACTTACCATCAGGTGGACTGAGTATTCTTTTGTCACCCTATTTTATATAAAAAATTATATCTGCAGTCTTCAAATAAATCATCATCAAAATCGATATCAAAAATAGTTTGGAATTTTCGTTTATCCTTAGGACGATTTATCTTATCGTAGGTTCTATATGCAAACCCAAATCAAAGAACACATGCGTTACATCGAATTTTGTCGTTAATCTCGTTATCATATATCGTTAATAACTGGATTCTATTTGTAGTTTTTATTTTTTACTATAAGTAAAAGTAAGCGTGTGATTTCTTGAAAATAATTAAATCTTTGCCTTTATTTTTCATCCAATCATTTTAAACATTAGTCGCAGCAGTATTTTTTATTCCATAGAATAAAGATGACAAGCCAGTACACTGTCCTCCATTATGAATCAAAATACAGATCCGTTGTGATCCTTGAAGTCTAATATGGAATGGATTCTTACTAGTTTTTTTTTTTTTTAAATAAGAGTAAAGTTTATACAGTTAGTCTTATTCAAACAAAAATTGTGAATTAACAACGAGACGGTCGGCATATCTTCACCCCTTTGTTGCCAATATCCCAAGCATTCTATGTAATCGACTTGCTTCGTCTTTTGTAATGCGTAAAGCAGAGAAGTAGGGTATTCTACTAGCGTCTGTCTTTCCGTCCAATTACAATCTGAGTTTCTTCAAGGCAAGAGTGAACAGGGTTTTGTTACGCTAAGACAGTGCAGTTTACTATTTTACTAAAGCACTGGCTTATAATAAGTAATCATGCAATGAATCATTAATATTTGACGGCTCCGTAGCACAGTCGCAAAGCGGCTTCACAGGTGGAGGCCCGTGGCTTCGAATCCCGCATGGAACAAATATTTTTATAACCTAGCTGATTCTTTGTTTCGAGTCTATATGTCTGTCCACGTTAAAGTAACGTATCTATGTAGAACGCCGCCACAATATAGGATAATATTCTAGTGTAAGGACAATCAAAATAAAACAATTTAAAACAAGAGGTAAAATTAAAACTTTGTACAACCGACTACAATATAAATTATTAAGGATAACTTAAAAACTACTGGTTAGACTTTGATCTAAAGCACCAACTTTCATATAAAAAAAGAATCATCAAAATCGGTTCACCCAGAAAAAAGTTATGTGGTAACACACATAAAAAAAACATACAGTCGAATTGAGCACAGTCTCCTTTTTAAGTCGGTAGAAAATTAAGACCATCACTATTCTGTTTACTATTTTATTGTATTTATTTTTAGTAGGCGGTCCTTTCCTGTGTAGAAGTCGTCCTCCGTCTGCTTATGTACAACCCTTTTACCTATTTCTGTCGTGATATAGCACTGCCGTATTCCAGTTTGAAGAGTATATAGAGTCAATATAATTACAGGCTATCAGGCATTCTATCTCAGTCAACTTTAAACAAGTTGGCTTCAGGTGTCTGTAGAAAGTTGTAGCTACTTACCACCAGTTTAACTGTGAATTTGTTTTTCACTTCAGGTTTATAAAAAGAATTGACCCAGTTGCAACATTAAATCTGTTTTTATCTGAGAAATATCGATGTTAGGTGGGTTTAATTTTTTTTTAATAGAATAATGATAAACGAGCACACATTCTACCTGATGGTAAGTGGATATCGTGGCCCACAGATATTATCCTCGATTAAGAACCAAAACGCATATGCGTTGTCATTCTTGAGGACTAAGATGGAATGCCCCGTATCCAGTAAAAAGGGTCCCCGGTTCTCTACACTCACCATGCGAAACACTACAACAAGCTGCTATATCACGCTGGTATTCTGTGAGATCGAGTCCTTCCACAGTCAAGCCGATCCATTTGTGTTATTACTATAATACAGCTGCAGCATAGCTGTACCACGTAAAGAATGTGAAAATGGATTGAGCTTCAATCGGACATCTGACTAGTTTGAACACTGGCTACCGAATAAATATCGGATCTGGCATGCAACAAGTGGACATTCCCAGGGCCGTTAGAATAGGCCAGCATCCATCAGGATGATAATTACCTAGTCAGGTCATAAGTATTGTCACACAGTAAAAACTTTTCTTTTAGAATGCTGGCCATAAAAAAGTTTATGGAATTCGAATTTCGAATTGTTCATGAAAATAAAACTGTATACTTTTTAGAATTTTACTCATTTTTAAATATAGAGTGGACGCTTAAAAAAGACCGTGTTGCAGTTATTGCGTTGCATTGTTGCGTTTACGCGCCAATTCAAATTTTTGACATACTGAAAAATTTGAATATAACCAAAAGATTCGTTTATCGTACCATCAAACGATACAATGAAGACTCTAGTGTAGATGACAGGTCAAAAAGTGGTCGCCCTCGGTCTGTTAGGACTCCAGCAGTGATAAAAGCTGTGAAGGCGCGAATTCAAAGAAATCCCAAACGTAAGCAAAAACTGTTGGCCCTTCAGATGGGGTTAAGCAGAACCACGGTGAAAAGAGTGTTAAATGAAGACTTAGGGCTTCGGGCATATCGAAGAAAAACAGGACATCGTTTGAATGCTCGTCTAATGGACCTGAGACTGAAGAGATGCCGCGCTTTGTTGAAGCGGTACGCGGGAAAAAAATATCGGGAAATTCATTTTTCGGATGAATAATTTTTTACCGTAGAAGAGAGCTACAACAAACAAAATGAGAAGGTGTACGCACACAGTAGTGAAGAAGCGAGCAACCGTATTCCGCGTGTCCAACGAGGTCATTTTCTATCCTCGCTCATGGTATGGTTGGGAGTTTCTTATTGGGGCTTAACAGAGGTACATTTTTGTGAGAAAGGTGTAAAAACGAATGCAGTTGTGTATCAAAATACAGTCCTGACGAACCTTGTGGAACCTGTTTCTCATACCATGTTCAATAACAGGCACTGGGTATTCCAACAAGATTCGGCGCCAGCTCATAGAGCGAAGAGCACACAAGACTGGCTGGCGGCGCGTGAATTCGACTTCATCCGGCACGAAGACTGGCGATCATCCAGGGCAGATTGGAATCCGTTAGATTACAAGATATGGCAACACTTGGAGGAAAAGGCGTGCTCAAAGCCTCATCCCAATTTGGAGTCACTCAAGACATCCTTGATTAAGGCAGCCGCCGATATTGACATGGACCTCGTTCGTGCTGCGATAGACGACTGGCCGCGCAGATTGAAGGCCTGTATTCAAAATCACGGAAGTCATTTTGAATAAACTTTAGTGTCATAAGAATCTATGTTTTGTTAAGTTCATTTAGGTATATAAATGGTTACATAATGAATAAACTTGTTTCAATTATTTTATATTAAACATGTGACAGAATTTATGACCTGACTAGGTATATACAGTGAAACCTGGATAACTGGAACCTTAAGGGTCCTGCAAATTTGTCTCACTTATAGAGGTATTCCACTTACCCAGTGTCTCAGATATCCAGGTATAAATAAATATATGTCTCATTTACAGTGGGTTCCATTAATGGAGGTGAGAATAGAGGTTATTTCAGTTATAGATGTGGAATTATTAAATTAAATAACGTATTTTGTAAACATAATATATAGACATCCGGACGAAACAAAACGGTATACAAAACATAGTCTCACTAAAAGAGGTAAAACATACTCGCTGTCTCAATTATAGAGGTAATTATGACAAATAAAATCGAAAGAACTAATCCCAGATATAGAGGTTTGTTTCGTCCCATTAACAGAGGTAATTCAGAGCTAAAGTATCGGGAATTAAGCATGAGTTCCAGCTATGGATGTTTTTCACTTATCCAGGTCCCACTCAACCAAGTTTTACTGTGTATGACTGATTGATTGATGATGATGATTGATAACATTAAAATGTAATACTCAATTAAGAACTATTTAATAAATTATTATATCTTTATATATAAAAATTAGGTGTCACGTTGTTTGTCCGCGATGAACTCCTAAACTACTGAACTGATTTCAATGAAAGTTTGCACACTCTGTGAAGTTCGGTCCAACTTGAGAGGTAGGATAGTTTTTATCCTGATAAGTGACACTCAATATTTTTTTTATTACGAATTTAAGGATTTTTTATATGAAAGGTCTTCGAAAAGGGCAGAACAACGTCTGCCTGGCCAGCTAGTAACATATATATTTATGTACTTAGTTTGTGTTTAATGGTTTTTAACAGCAATTTATATTTTATTTTATCAAGGCTCGAACCGAAAAGGTACCACGACCTTACAGATAACCAGCGTGCAGGTGGTCGGAGGCCTAGCCCCTCTCTCTCTCTCTCTGTCTCTCTTAACATGCTTGTGTAATTTAATAAGAAACCGAACCGACCAATTTTCAGCAAAGTTAGAGATTAATTTATGTTTTATTTATGAATTTACTATGTATAGGAAGATAAAAAGTAAAACAGAATTCAATTACAAAATATTATTTATTAAAATCTATCGTTTATAGAACAGGTTTCCTTCTCCACCCCACAATCTTCGTCCGCCATATCCGATCAGTTCCTGCCGCATTGCATTATATTTTTTAAAGAATAGTTTTTTCAAAATTCTCTTGCGTCGTTTGTCTTCCTTTAAACAAGATTCCAATTTGTCCATACACACGTCCTCCCTAAAAAAAAGAACATCTAATTTATAAAAAGAACCCACTTTGCCCCGTGTGTGACGTCAATAGTTAAAAAACAGGCGGGTTAAAATCTCGCACGGAGCAAGTATACAAATACTTGGCCTTGGCCTTCAAATAATTGTTCCAGGTCTGGATGTTTGTCCTCGTGCAATTTATGTTTGTAAACTGCCTCCACGATACAGGAGAAAATCCTAGTGTGGGGGTAACGTTTTTTTTTTTAAAAAAACCGTTACCATTACTGCTACAGCCTTTTAAAGTCAAGAAAAAAAGAATCCCATATAGATTGCCTTATTATATGGATATTTTACATTGTTACGACGCTTGGCAACCGATTTTGCAACCGCATTTTTGTTAAGTTTTAAGTTAAGTAAGTTAGTTTTTATTAGGAAGATGCTGCTGCCTATCACCTGATTTGTTTCCCTCTGTCCCTTCATACGACACCCAAGGTATGATATGGAGTAGTCGATATTCTTACACCGCCACTACACGATATTATATAATAACACAGTCCTAATTCTTTTTTATTTGACATTCATGTAGATGATAATTACAAACATAATGTTATATAAGAAAATCATACTTATAATTCTGATCCAGTAACAACTTTATTGGCTCTGTTTTGGTATACTTGTCAGGCAAACGGGCACCTGGTGGCATTTTAGACAGCTCTTTCATTATGCCCATTATTGTATTCTCTAGCTGCGCTAGTTTCGGCACCATAAGTCTTTTTATGACCTGTTTTGTAAACAAAAATATAAAAATTTCTTGTAACTTTGATTGACATTAAAGATGACATTAAAGCAAATAAATTAAATCATTGAAAGCTAAGTTTAAGTAACTTAGAATGTACGCTTTGTGTGGCTTACAATTTAAAAAATATATATTTTTTAGAACTGTAACTTGGACAACAATTACCTTTCCGCATTTGTTACCAGTCTTACAGGGAGTTCTGAATCTCCTTCCAAGTTCCATTGTCGGTAAGTTTTGAATTTGCGTGATTACGTTAGTGAATGTGCCTGTTGCTGTATTTTGAGCTGTGAATATTAGAGTAAAAAATTTAAAACAAACTAACGTGCAAGAATAAAATTAAGACATTCCAAATTATTAATTTTACTCTTTCTTTGAAAAATGTGACTTGATCGTCAGCGTAAAAAACACATTTAACGGCGAACCTACTTTTTTCGACTTTCAAAGTATGTAAATAAATGACATGAACATATTGAATAGTAACGGGGACGCTACGTAACTCTGTCTGACACCTTTATGGATGCCAAAGTTTTTGGTCAAAAACTTCTTTGTTATCATGTGCATAGAAAAAACTCAGATCTGGACCCCTCGTCCCCTTTATAAATCCCGCTTGCACATCCCAAATTTTTCCATCAGTTACACCAAACAATATACTTATAATAACATCGTCATTAACCGGTCTCCGGCTTCGTTTTTGGGTTATCATTGAAATAGTTTAATATTGTAATAAAACATGTTACATTAGTTGAATAAGATATATTAAAAAAATCCAACTCAACATAATATTTAAGAAGTTTGACTTTGAAAACAAGCTCTCTGCTGTTTTATGATTATATACTTATATATTTTTAAATTTTGGTAAGTAAAGGTGTTTAAATATAGAATGTAATATTAAAACATACCCATTTTCGCTCTTTTTGTTTTACCAACTCTTGCTATATCTGGTTTATATTCATCGGAACTTTTACTTTCCCCTAAACTAGCAAGACATGTCAACGTAAAAACAAGACGAATATACACATCTAGAATCATATTTTATACGTAAATTAGTACAGCAGTTACGACTAGAGACTGAGGAATAATAGGCACTTCGCATTTCTCTCGGCAAGTTTACAAAACATTAGTTGACTAATAACCGTAATAGGAAATAGTTCAGTCACGTTTGCTTGTTTATAAATTCAATGAAAGCTGTATAATCTTAGATTAACGTCAATTTTCAAGAATAGTGTTTAGAGATGTTTTTAAGATTTTAGAAAACGGTGCTTTACATTATTTTAAAATCAATGATTACAAGTCAATCAAAAAAAAAATCAAAAAATGCTTTACTTCTGCAACATAACCTGGTATATTTATATTTACCAACACATTTTGATAACATTTCTTTTAAGTAAATACCCGTATTAGGAAGTAATATTTTCTACTAACTTTTCTGTATCAGCGTAGCTGAGGGATTTAGTCAATAGTACAACATACTTTAGATAATAATGTAGTATTGTGCCTAATGAGTCTAGTAATACTTGTGGTGTTTACTCCATCTACATATTATCATTCCTTTTCTTTATCAACCCGTATGTTCACATGGGCATGAGCGAAACCTAGGAAATATTCGCCGAAATTGTCATACTTTGCGGTCGCAGTACCAAACTTCTTGCATCTTTTTTTACCTTATACTATAAGCCAATGCTTGGTTGTACCTGACGGTAAGGTGATGTAGTCGGCGATGATAGAACGCACTAGCTTAACTGTGATGAAATTCTCCGACTCCGAGCCACTTATTTTACGCTTTGAGATGGCTACGATGATATATTTATATGGGACCATGAGATCAGACTAGCATTTGCCACAGGTAACCCAAGTTTTTTATTCTTAATGTTATTAATTAATTATAAAATCGATACTTACACAGACAGTTGCACTGAGCACAATCTCTTATCTCTGGAACACAGGCGCATTTTGCTTGACATGGCTTTGTTATATGATATAATAAACAGTAATATTGACTGTCCATATCTTGTCTCAAGAATCACCTTTCGTACTCCAAAATTCCGTACCCGCAATACTACATTGTTACAGACTCCCTGGCATCATTCAAACTACTGTCGAAACGCTGTTCTTTCGCGGCTTGCTCGTACATATAATGAACAATTTGGACACATTGACCTCTTTGCGAAATCTAAACTTACGTTTAAAGATTACATCAAGAAAACTATTACGAAATAGAGCAGTTGAAGTTAAAATCACATACAATCATATATTCTCTCATCTATTTCTTCTATATGTATTTTTGAGGCTACTAATATAAATATAAGTACTTAAGTTATTTTATTTAATATATATTATAATTAATTATTTGTATTATGTTTATATATTTAAACATTTAATATGTATATATACATAAGTAAATAATATATATGTATGTATATATATATCTTATATGTTTATATATATATATATATATATATATATATATATATATATATATATATTTATATATATATAAAGGTAACGTAATATATCATTCTACCTGACTATCTCTCCTGATCTGTAAACTTATGACCACCTTCATTACATTGAATTGCTTATAATTTTGCTTATAATTTATCTATTAGATTGTTCTTTTTTCTTTTCTTCTAACAACAATACACCTACCATCAAACAATATAAGGGAAACCTGTTATTGGCCATACTTTAAGTTTGTTACATTAATGTTAATATTTTCTATATACGCTGTTGGTTTTCTAAATAAATAAATAAATAAATAAATTATACTTGTAGATTACCACAAGATAAATCTACCATATTATTAATCAGAGTTGATGAAATAATTTTGATAATCAGCCGACATCCTCCTGACGTAAATCACTTCAGTGCCCCCCCCCCCCCGTGACTCCATGGCCATGGGTGCTTTAAAGTGGTCGAAACAAAAAGCAAAATAATTTTTATTTAATGTGTAGTATTCGCGTTATATTAGGAAATTATTAGGTAGGCTTTTTATTTTAATTTTCTTAAAATTATAGTCTCTCTAAATAAAAATCAATTGCTGTCCGTTAGTCTCGCTAAAGCTCAAAAACGGCTCGACCAATTTTAATGAGTTTTTTTGTGTGTCTTTGAATGGGTCCCTAGATGGTTTAGATTCGCCCAGCCTCCCTCTCTATTGAAATTATATGGCCCCCGCCATTACATTAGATTTGATAAACCACAAGTTCTCGCGAAAGAACATCAATTCCTGCCAAGGATGATACGTGAGGCTATTGAAATTAAAAAACATCCTAATTTCAATAGAGAGGGAGGCTGGGTACTACCACCTGCTTGGGGTCCTGTAATTCATAAAATTAAAACTAAACCCAAGCATACCACTGCAAGACTTCAAGACACAGTTAGTTCATTCTGCGTAGATCGGACCAAAATTAATAATTAAAAAGCTGAAGGTACTCCGGGTTAACTTTGACATCGGGACGTCAATCACCTCAGTCCCCCGTGAACACGGTTGCTGGAAATCAACCGAAACGTCGGGAATATAAAATAACTTAATTATACACGATAAAAAACGTAAAAGTAGTTTTATTCAGTCAAGGGGTTGGCAATAGATATCCGGTACTTGATTTTAATTATGTTTTCAGTTTAAGAGGCTTGTCTGGGCTAAGCATGAACCTCTTACACTGTTTTTGAATGTCGGAAATGAGTTTTGAATTAATTACGATAAAAATAAATTTCACCAAAAACTCCGTATAACGAAACGCAAATATGACATTTTGTATAGTGTTATGAGATTAGATGTCAATAATCGATGTAAAAAAGTGTGAAACGGGACGGTGTTGACGGCCATAATTTGCGCAACCGTAATTGCCAACTATAATATATTATTTATGATGTCAAATGTCAATTGTCATTCCGTTTCTCTAGTGGTCACACGAATGTTCTCTCTTGTGCTTAGTGCTGTGTTTTCCCTGTTTTTTCAACGACTTCTGCTCAGTTTTTGAACTTATTTGGTTTAAAATCATATTGTTTCATTTACCACTGTCATAGCAGAGTTTAGGGAAACCTAACTTTATAGATAAGATAGTTCGAATTTGTACTAAAACTTTTTTTTTTATAGGATCTGGTGACAAACGAGCACACAGTCCACCTGATGGTAAGTCTCCGGTTCTCTACACTCACCATACGAAACACAGCAGCGTTAAGCTGCTATTTTACGCTGGTTTTCTTTGAGGGCGTGGTCCTTCCCCGTTCGAGGCGACCCATTCGTGCTACAACCATAATATAGCTACAGCATGGCTCTACCACGTAGATAAAAAAAAACTTAATCAGAACACCCCGACTCCACGTAGTGTTGTCTGCCCTACCCCTAGAGTGTTTTTGTAAGCCGTAGGCGCGGAGGGAGAGCAGCTCCCGCCCGCTGTAGCAAATCGCAGGCCCCTGTGTGAGCCGTAGCGGCTGAGGCTGGTCGCCGAAGGCGACCAATAAGCCGAAGCTGCGGAGGTGAGCATGGGTGCCTGTGATTTGCTACGCAAGGGCGAAGGGGCTGCACTTCCCACAGCGCCGAAGCCGTTGCAGAAGTAACTTTGTGTCAATATTCCTGTGTAAAAAAGTGAGGTTATGATTTTACAAAAAAAATTATTACTCATAAACTATACATTTCCGCAACGGGGGAAGGGTAGGGGAGGCTTCCCCTGATCCCTCCTCCTCCCCCTCCCCCTCCCGCCCCTGTACGAGAGTACCGGATGTCTATAGTTTAACCGTGAAATACAAATTTCAGGAGCAAAGACATTTAAGTAGTAGTAATAGACCGGACATCAGCAACAAAATTGTCACCTCTTACTAATGTCCTATAGGATATACTTCGGATTTGTGTCTTAGTGACATCGTCAAAAGCTCAAGACGCATTCCTTTCCTAAGTTTAAAAAATATTTTTTTATAAAAAAAAAAATATGCCAGATTGTGCATTAAGGTATTGTAAGTCCCGATATGGAGCAAAAACTGAATGTGTTTTCGATTTATTATCTCAAGAATAATGTATATTTACCCAATAATTTTTAAATTTTATTATTTCTGGTAGATTGTTCTAGAACATTTATCGTTATTGTAATAAACGCCCTCTGTTATCCAGTAACGGCATGATTTATTTACCATAGAGTTAGTGATTGACAACGTTTATTGATTATTGTTATCGATAAAAATATTATACCGAATGCCGATTTAATCATATATACTAATATAATAAAGCGGAAGAGTATTTTTGTTTTTTTGTTTGTTTAAACGCGCTAATCCCTGGAACTACCAGTCCGATTTGAAAAATTCTTTTTGTATATTATAATAATATTAGGAATAGTCTACGCTATCTAGCACTAAGCTATATTACTCAGTTAACCTTAAATATGGATATTTGTTAAGCAAGTCAGAAGAAAAAGCACTCCCGAAATGATTTATCCGCGTACGCTGGTGTTATCGTTAGGGATACGTAAATACAATGTTCTAGAAAAATATAGACCTTTACTCTGTCTAAAAAAAAGTCCACGATACCATATGTCTATTTCTTATACATAAGCCATAATTTGGTAATTTGTGACAAAAAAATATTGAAAATTTAAAAGTGATTTATGAGCGTTATTATTAGGCATGGCCTATTTATCCTTACGAACGAAAGTTACTTCATCATCAAGACAATTTTATGAAGATAAACTTTGTTCTTTATACCATGTTATTTGCACGCATAGTTTAAGAGATAATGTAAAATTAAAATAATTCAATACTTGTCTGGACGCGCGAACGACGCTTAAACCCTAGCCGTTATAAAATGCTTGAACTAGGTCATGTCACGCACCTCGGACACGTGATGACGCGGGTGAAACCGCGGGGCACAGCTAGTCTACAATATTTATGGAGGTGAAACAGTAAACGATACTGTACCGGTACCAATAAAGAAATCGGCTGGGCCTGTGTCGGGGCACACGGTCGTTGGTTTTAACATGAAACATCTATGTCAGCCAGCACAACCAGTACAACCAGTCAACAAGATGGCCTTTTTAATTTTAATATAATTCTACAACACCAGGAGAATTGAATGTGCGTAGCCGGCCTTTTAAAAAGGAGTAAGCTCGTTTCTTGAAGGTCCCTAAGTCATATGGGTACATAAAATTTGCCGTTGGTAAGCGATTCCTAAGAAAACTCCTAATAAATCGCATGGTAGTGACCCCCAAGCATCCAAATGATGTGGATGGTAACGTAAGTTTTGTTACGATGTGTGTTGGTGAAATTTGGTGGCTGGAATTAATCCGACCAATTCCTGAGCACTCCCCGTGTTAAATACGATAGAAATCGAGACAATCAAAGAGAACTCGGCCGTCGCTATTCGAGCCGCTCTGCTCTGCAGTCAAGTGAAAGGAGTTCGCACTGGAGAGCCCCGGCCCAGAGATGAGAAAAGTATTCCATTTGAGGCTGAGCCTGCGCTTGTAAAGTTGCAAACGGTCGGTTTTTTGTTCATCATTTTTTGTTCCCGCTCTACTGAATAAGCCAAGCTATTTAGAAGCCAATTTAGATTTCTCTTTCAAGTGACCATGCTACTGCAGGTCATTCGATATGTCGACGCCGAAGATCCCGCTATGGGCTACTGCAACAAGGGAAGTGCTCTGAAATTGAGGAGATACGACAAAGAAGTTGTTTTTGACGGTAAACGCGCAAACTTGTGAATTTGTATAATAATTTATTTCGTAACGACCTTTAAGTTCAATGCTTTCCTAAAATATGTTAGACTTAAAGTGTATTTTTGTAAAAGAAACGAACTTGAAAAACATGGAGGCGCTCTCTTATTGGATTTGACGTTTCGCGACGTGCCTTCGACGCCGACCGACCAATCATATGCTATTATTATAGCGTCTAATAGACCTAGTGATGCCATCCAAGATGCTACCAATGTGACTGCTGTTTGAATTGATTCTTAGTTATTGGAAATTAAATATTATATTTCATGACATTTCATTTCATTCATGATGTTATTCATAACTTAAAACGTTTAAATCAATTTTTTTGGTGTGATGGGAGTCATAGTAAATAGATTTATTCAATAAAAAAGCATGCATATTTCCTATTATTATTTCGTAGAGCGTTACAAACTTTGATGTCGAAACGGAATCATTCCTAAAGCGGGTTTTTACCCTACATTTAGTAGCGTCACCTACTGGGGAATAGCTAAAATGTTTTCCTAATAAATATTCTGCGTAGTTTTGCTATGTTTAGCTAGAGTGCGTCACACACGCGCGAACTCAGTTTTTGTACGAAAACTGTTCTCTATGTCCGCTCTATACTATACCTATATATTTAAATCTCTTTGTTCAGGAGTAATAATAGTTTTATTGAAAGAACAAAAAGGAAAAGAAAAAAGAAGACAAAATAATAATATGTCAACAATGAAAGAGGTTTCATTGCTTAAGATTCAACACCATTCTTCAATGAAAACCTCTTGACACAGTTATAGCTAACTTAAGATTTATGAAAAATTACAATGAATTTTCCTAAATTTTAAAATAAATTATTTGTATTCAACTCTCTCCTTCCCTTTTTTAAAACAAATTAAACTTATATTTATCTTAACAGACATGTTTTATACGTGGTAGAGCCATGCTGCAGCTATATTAATTGTATAGTTGTAGCACGAATGGGTCGGCTCGACCGGGGAAGGACCACGCTGTCACAGAATACCAACGTAAAATAGCAACTTCATGCTGCTGTGTTTCGTATGGTGAGTGTAGAGAACCGGAGACCCTGTTTACTGGAAAAGAGGCATTTCATCTTAGTCCTCACGGGTGACAACGCATCTGCATTTTGATTCGCAAACGAGGATAGCTGTAGATGTCTAAGGGCCACAGCAACCACTTACGATCAGATGGACTGTGCGCTCGCTTGTCGCCCTATTCCTATAAAAAAAAAACAAAGGAAAATTACATTAAATCTAACATTTCTCTAAATTTTAAAAAGAAGTTTTTTCCTAATACCAAACGCCGTCCGCATTAGAAACGTGCTGGGCCCGTAACCTATTGCGAGAATATATTATATTAGTGAAAATACTAATTTCAGGAGTAATAAGAGTTTTATTGAAAGAATAAAATACAATATAAGACGATCGTACAAGTTTCAATCCTCAAAACAATAATATGTCAACAATGAAAGAGGTTTTATTGCCTAACATTCAACAATATTTTGTACGAATCTGCGTCTAATAAGGGCGGGGTGGCTGAGGCGCGACGAAAGAAATCTGTGGACGGATCGCTCAGCGACCATATATTTTCAATTACTACGATTACACAATTACTGAGATGCAATCACACGGACCGCCCCGCTCCGTCTCTGCAGACGCGAAACACAACACGATCACCGCTCTAACTGATTTTATGCAATACCAAGAAAATTAATAAGTAGGTAGTTTGTCTATGTAGATCTTCATGTAGTATAGTATGTAATTCTTAAAAATATTCGTAAGACATGCGAAAATATTCAAAGAATTATATCGGATCATATTTCAGGTCAAAGAAAAAGTGATGAAATTCACTACAAATTTTATTTTCTTACATATATTATGAAATCAATATCTTCAAACAAGATATTAAATAAAATAATTTTTAGACTTCCTTTGAACACAGTTAGAGACTGTCGACAAGAACCCGCCGGTCCGGCCCGCCTTGAATAATAAGTGCAGTACGCAAATAACGAAACGTATATAATCATAATATATGTATATAATCAATAAATAGAATTATAGAATTGCTGTGTGACAGCGGCCTAGAATACTGCCACTCTCTCCCATGGATATCGTACGAGCCAACTGAGGGAAATGTCAGAAAAAATAAAGGATACCTTTAGGCTTCCAACGAATGGCGGTTTAGGGTTATATATGTTCTATGGGCATAACCATCCCAGTCTTGATCAGACTAAAAATGCACAGGCCTGTAATGAGCAACAGCGTTACAGGTGCGATGTGCCTGGCACTTCGATCGTCAAACTACTTGCCCAGCGTTACGATTAAGGCTAAATCCTCCCATGTGCAGCACCACAAAACACTACCCCAGTTCCCTGTCACCCCGTTATTCCTGGGAGTGATGGCGGACATGGCAACTATGAAGCAGAAGGTGCGAAAAAAGAAAAAAATTACATTTACAACCAAAAACTGGACTTGGTGATACTGGACTTCGTTATACGTAACGGACGGACTCTGCGGCAAGACTGAAACATTTACGAACTGAAAACTGCACTGGAAAATATGCGATGGTTAAATAAAGTCCGAAGAGAGAGGGAGGACACACTCACCCTGCAATCCGACCACCTGTTCTACTTTCGGTAGAGAGACGGGCCTTTCCCAAAGCGAAGCAGGTTTGTCCAATACCCAGTGTCGTCGACACGGGTAAAATTGCCTTGTACTGAAGTTACCAAAGAGACACTCTCTGAACATCATACAATTTTATGCCTCGAACTCGGCACATTCGGATGATGAAGTTGAAACTGTTCATGAAGACGAAGAAATCTGCCGAAAAATTAAGATCACTGACAGGCTTCCCTGTTTGTAAACTGAAGTAACAATGGTCTGGTCTCATATGTCGCAGAAGTGACAACCGGACGTCATATAGTGGAGTTCGCGTCTAGGCAAAAGTAGTATCAGACGCCTCTTGACGAGATGAAAAATATGTACGTCAAACTAGGCATATAGATATATATATATTCCGTTGCCTTAAAATAACTTAAAAAATACTTTATGAATGTCAATGTCAAACGACAAACAGAGTTTTGGCGGGAATTTTTGCTGCTCCTGTATTATAATTTAAATAATAGTTTGAAGTGGATTTTGATATCTAAAAGTGATGCAATTTTATGTATTAACTGTCTACGCATGTGAACTATTAGTGGAAACGGTGAAACAAGTGCTCTGATGGTGATGGATTCTCAAGATAAGCTGTTTGTCTAGATAGGCGCTTTTAGATACCATCGTCAACGTCTGCTGGCTCTAGTTGCCGTCAAAATCTCCCAAGGGCTGCACAATGTGACGCATCAACATATTGTGAAGCAGTGAATTATGAAGGATAATATAAAAAAGACAAGGCTGTATGGCTTAGTTCTTTTGCCTGCTCTCTCGACGGAATAATAAAAACAACAACTACAAACGACAAACAATAATTGTCAAATGTCAATGTCTTGTCGAAATCATGCAGCCTGAGACACTTTTTGCTTCTTTTTTTAGGTTATTTTACTTTAGTTTTTCTTTGTGTTATTAAATAAACATTATGAGAATATCTAAATATTATATTTAACTAGTGCAATTCCAAAATTATACAAATGGAGGAAAGTGAAGAGAAACCGTTACAAAATCTTAATGCCTTAAACATTGGTATAGTACAAGATAACATCACTACCCTTGATTTAAGTCACAGAAACATTAAAAATATCTGTAAAAGTGTAAAATTACCGACCAATTTGGCAGAATTAAATATTTCACATAATAAATTGGAAAACATTCCAGAAACAGTTATGAATTTGAAAAGTCTTGCACTATTAGATATTTCATATAATAATATTCAATATTTCGATGACACTCCAAGCTTTTGCCATAACATAGAAAACTTAAATATATCCAACAACAAACTTCGCGCACCTCCAGCGTGGATTTGGTTTGAATCTCCAGAGAAGTTGTCAAAATTGGATATTAGCTGTAATATAGACATAACAAACTGTTTCCAACAAGGGTACTTTGAAGAAATAATACAGTGTAAAACTTCTATAAAGGATATTAAAATATATAACTGTGGACTGCGAAATTTCAAACAGTTTTTGGGAACATTCCCCGAAGCCAAATCCCTTGAAGCTGGTACAAATGAAATAAGCTACTTAAGTGCAAACTCCTTTACTGATATCCCTTGTGAAGGTCTTGTAAATTGCTGTGATATAACAAGACTTAATTTAAGCTTTACTTTAGTTTTTAATATCAATCCTCATATAGATATCTACAAAAACCTTATAGAAATTAATTTATCACAAAATGAAATTAGCAGCTTACCGAATGAATTTTGTAACTTGGAATGCTTAGAAGTATGCATCTTGTCATTCAATCGCATTTTGTATCTACCAGAGGATATAATAAAATTAAAGAAATTAATTACACTTTGTATTGACAGTAATGTACTTTGTGTATTACCTGACAATATTTGGAGTTTACCTAATCTTAAGAAAGTAGACCTTTATGATAATCATCTGTATGATGTACCTGTTGATATAAAACAAATACAAGAAATTGATATGGCACAAAACTATTTAGAAGAACCTGTTGATGAAAACTACTTAACTAAAAAAGAGAGATTGAGACATAATATTGTTGGGAGACTTAATGGCAGGTAATTTTTTTTACAAACACATCCCACACACAAATGAATTTCTCCAGTATTGTGGAGGCATTTCCCATACATAAATTGAAATATTCAGATCACGAAACATTGTTCTGTGCTGAATTCAAATTCATAGTTGCATGTGAATGCTTAGAATGGATGATAATTATATTCCAATCCTGTCGAAAGCTAATGTTACAGATATGCAATAATATCAGATGTAGGCTAAGTTGTAGTGTCATAATAATTGTAAGGACAATCACTGCCTCAGACCCTCTACCAACAATTTGTGTTTATATACAAATAATGATTATAGTAGGAATTCAAACCAAGGATTTTTCTAACTGACTATTATGGTTATAGATTCCAACTTTTATAGTCAATTTAAATGGTAAATGGTAAGAGGAGGCTTCCCCTGAACCCTCCCCCCTCCCCCTCCCACCCCTGTACGCGAGTACCGGATGTCTATAATTTAACCGGTAAATGGTTAACGGGTTTGGTCTGAAGAATAGAAAATATTATGAATTTGACTTTGATGAGCTCTTCTGAGGAGTTGTCAGCTCTCTACCTGAATTTCTTCTTTCCTGTTGATATGATGTGATGGTAAAAGTGGAACAATGTGGTGTTTTAGTTGATGCAAATTCTACATGTGTACTTTTTCCTGCAAGATGTGTATAATAATAATAATTATCATAGCTGGGCACATAATTAACTTCGTTTATCACTAATCTGTTACTAAAGAAGTTAACTTTGTTAAACTTTAAAGTGTCACATTTCAAAAGATTTAACGCCAGATAACATTAATTGTTAATCTGTTAACATGTGATTAAAATTGCATTTTTTATATTGTTGTGCTAATGATCTACTTATAAAAACTGTTGGTATGGGTTCTAGAAGTTAACAGGTGAGGAACAAAAAAAAGATGTGTGTAATTGGAGTGTATAATTTAATCACTTGGCATAATGTTGATTTTGCTCTTTATGAACATTATGTTGAAGTTCTCATCTGGCTTTGGCGTTAAAATATCATGCCCATGGAAAAAAAATGTTCAACTGCAGCGCTTGAGGGTATAGCAGTATTATATTTAATAAACAGATTTATGAATATCTGTTCTTCGGGTAATGCCTCATAGTTGAATGAGTCTTTTGATTTCATGTCTAGCCACATTTTGATGAGATTTTGAGCTTTATTCCTTAAAGATTTGTGGCTGTTAAGATTTTCTTTTGACGTGTGACATAATTGAAAGTCTTCTTCCTATAATTAGAACACCTCTCTTAAATATCTTGAAGCCTGCTCTCTAATAACAGACAGCCTCGCAATATGATCGTTTGTCACCCTCACGGTGATCGGCGATTGGTTGCGTGGTGTGAGGGTAGGCGGGTGTTGCGCGGCGGTTTGTTTTTAATTTTACAAACGGCTGCGTAAGTCCGGCGGTGATTGGTCGCATGTTTTATCGCATGACGCGGTCGCTCGCTCCTTAAGCAGGGAGCGGTTGCATCAGCGGTCTGTATAAATGGCAGTTGTTTTGGCTCACTGCACTTAACGGTTAGCCACCACAGAGTCTACTCACCTGAGGATGCCAGTCAGTCAGTCAGTGGTGTGTCGCTCCTAGTGTAGTGGTGTTGGGAGTAGTGGTGCTGGGATTAGTGGTGACGGGGATAGTGCACGCAATTGAGGGAGGGCGGGAGGTGCTCTTCATACTAGGTAAGACATATCATTTTATTTTATCGAGCGGATGTTTGCGAAGTAACTTTTTAAGAGCTTTAGTCTTCTTCATCAGTTCTTATTCGCGTTGCTACCTCCGCCATTTAAACTATCTCTGTCCTTCGAACTTTTGGAAGCTTCTTGTCGTAACGCCTTTTCTACCCCTTTTTTACAACCCTTTTTCTACTGCATCCACTCCACTGTTGTCATACGTTCCCAGCCATATCAACCAGAACTTCGGGTGAAAAGCCACGGCAAGTTGACACTGTTCGTCGTCCAGAAGCGGTCCAAACCTTTTCTCTATATCATTTAATAAGGCATTGGCTAAAGCTGTGCAATTTACTAGGCCCTTAGACTTTATATTTTTTTATTTAAAGACAGTTGCTGCAATTGTCGGTAGCAGTGACCCCGAGATATGCATGAGCTTCTCCTTCAATACGATCGAGGGCATTAGCGACAGGTACCATAACCTGAAGTAAATGAGTAGATATTAATAACATAAATGACATGATATGGAAAAATTTGATGTTAATTTAAAATATCTATAAGTATATAACCTTTGCATACTCCTTCAGTACACTCATATCTTGGTCATTAAAAATCGGAATTTTTAGGTAAGTCATAACCCTGTAAAGATAAGGCCTGCTGACTGCGTTATGCGTTTGCGGCGAGTGTGTGGCCAGCCACTCGCGCTCATACTGTCAGTCCTTTGACTCGCGCCCAAAAAACCGACAAAACAAGGAGCGATGAGCATGACGAGGAGCATGACGTGCGGCATGACGAGTATTGTAGCCACACTACGTTTCTGCCTCCTTCCCTCGCTATTTCCATGCCACACTCTTTGACAATAACAGTTCATTTGCAGATACAAACTCATGACTTGTTGACTTGACATTTCTCATTATGTTATCTACATCATCAGAATAAGCATTGTAATATATACATATGCAGTGTATCCAAAATTTTATTTCAATCAATAAATATTTTTCTTTCCAGAAAATATGAAAACAATAAACCTGAGAGTTCACATTCTTCAAGGACATCTGACGATGAAAGTTATGATGAATTACATTTTGACAGTTATACTAAAAATGGTAACCTTAATACTTTCCAAATTAACTAAATTGATCTTTCATTTAAGTTTAAATCACCTTGTTGTGTTGGGTGTATTGCTAGACATTGCGTTGGTCTTTCCAAGTGTTGCTATGGGCCACATAATTCTTTGGAGCATCTGTAGTGTGATTATGTACGTAGTAAGGTCCAAAAGTTTCTGGCTTAAACTATAAAATTAAGGATAAATCTCAAACCACAATTATTATTTTGCGATATAATCTCCCTTTATTTTAATACACTTTCCACAGTGCTTTACTAACTTTTCTATACCCTTTAAAAAATAATCTGAATTTTTGCACACAAAATGTGGCAATACTGCTGACTTCACCTCATCATTAGTGTTAATTTTTTGCTCATAAGTAGTATTTCAATTTTGAGAATAAATAATAGCCACTTGGGGCCAAGTCGGTGCTATGTTCGAGCTCAGAGAAAAACACCCGATGTGTGGACTTGGGCATTGTCATGAAGCAACAACACTCCTTGCGACAATTTCCCTCGACGATTGTCTTTAATAGCATCTTGCAATTGATGTAGCAAGGAAGCATAGTAATCGCCTGTTACTGTTGTGGTACGTGCTTTAAAATCCACCAGTAAATTTCCTTCAGAATCCCAAAAGATTGTAGCCATTATCTTTTTCTGAAATTGAGTCACCTTTGGTTTTTTCCGCCGCGGTGAGCTCGGACGACGCCACTTCATCGATTCATTTTTTGACAGAGGATCATGATAAAAAACCATGGTTTCATCACCCGTCACAATTGAATCCAAAACTTCTTTCTGTCGGCCTTGGCCTTCATAAAGGGATAAAAACTGAGTACAGCACTTTCCTCATTCCTGTGTTTGAACATCAGAAAGAAGTTTTGGGACACACCTAGCACTGAACTTAGTCACACCCAAATGTTTATGTAGGATTCTAAGCATTGTTGTTTTTAAAAGTCTCGTCATAACTGCTAACTCTTTAGTCTTTAGCCGTCTGTCTTCCAGTACTGTCTTCTCCACAAATATAATGTTTTCATCCGTAATGACCTCGGATGTTGGTCCTGGGCGCGGTTCATCATCAATTGATTCTCTTCCCACACAAAATTGTTTCGCCCATTCTTTTACGGTTGAGTACGCAGATGAATAATGCCCGTGCACAGCATTGAAACCTAGTCTCTAGTGCGATACAACGACAATAACGTTGTTACCATAGCTTCTACCTGTGATGGTTTTTCTCCAGTTGGATCCGCACAGCGATGGTCAAGTGCTGAAAGAAAACAAATCTCGATTCAACAGCCCTTTTGTGTTCAAATGTATAATCAATATATGGGCGGAGTAGATCGTCTAGATCAAAACATAGGCTGCTACCGCATTAACATAAATAAAAAAAAATGGTATTGGCAACTTCTGATGTGGCCCTTGAACGCTTCAATGAATAACGCTTTTCAGTTGTACAGACTCTCACCAACTGGGCAAGAGAAGGGCATCTTCATTTCCTAGCCTTTATCAGGTCTGTGGTTACAACTTATCTACGAAGATATGCGTCGGCTCGCTCTTTAGACCGTCCTATGAAGCCGTCTAGGAAAAGGAGGGTGCCAGACGATGTACGTCTAGACGGGGCTGACCATTTAATTATTTCTAGTGCAACTCAGATACGTTGTGCCGAATGCCATAAAAATACTACGAAAAAATGCCAAAAATGTAATGTCGGCTGTCATACTAATTGTTTTTAAATTTTCCACTCTTAAATATATGATAAATACTGATAAAATAAGCACTATTATATAATAAATATTCTTGAAATATAATAAAAATCTCTTTACAACCTCTATAATACTTATTATATTAATATTACTCTTTAAATTAATTGAAATTAAAAAATTTAAGGAATTGTTATGGACGTGGTCTACCGTGCTCAGCGCCCCAAAATTGGAGCGGTGAAAATGTCCAAAATGGTTTTTTTTTTATTATTTAATTTTCAGAAAACCTTATTTTTATGCTAATTGGACTTAGAATAAAACAAAACAATACCAGTATTTACAAGAAAAAAAAAGTTGGGCACGGGTTAATAACATTACTTGTATTTTTTTTTAATTCTTTTAAATTTCAGACAATAGTGCTAATGGTGACCGACCAAGTTCTCCTGAAGATTGGGATTCGGATGACTATTGGGTACCACATTATTTCAAAACCGTCACTCCACCTCAATCACCTTGGCTTTATTTTGTAAAGCGTAAAATGGAGGAAGGAAATTTTTGTCCTATGGACATGCATATGGTCTCAATTGCCGAAAAAGTAAAGTATGAAAAATTGTGTAACCCACAGATTCAATACGAGTCTGATGGTCAGTTTGATGATTATTCAGATGATGACAGCTGACTGTTAATTAATTGTCCTCTGTTTTATTAATTAGCTCTAAGTTGAATCCATAAGACTAAACAACTGTAGTAAACATAATCCTTAGCAAATTTCATAAACCTCAACCATCCTTGACACTACTGTCACTGCACCCTGTCAATAGTCTGAGTATTTTAAGTACCTATAGTGAATATGAAATCTCTGTTTGAGGCCTCGAGATCTTGGCTCGTTCTTTACCTTACAACTACCTGACAATATATTCTCTTACTTGCTACTACAATTAATTAAATTGGTAAATATAAGTTGTTTCATCCAATTCAATTGTGATACAATAGTATTTTGCATAAGTCTATGTTATAATATGTATTTCAATAGAAATAGAAACCATCCATTATGCAAACCTTTATTTTTTACTATTATTTAATTATTTTTCTGAAATTTGAATAATAATTACTGGCTATATAGAGAAATTTATATAGATAAGACCTTTATACATTATGAAACAATGTGTTAAAATAAACTGTTTAAAATTTATGTCTACCCTGCACCAGTGCCCACATTTACAAATTATAAAATTTCATGTATGTATATATTTTTATATTTCTATCTTGTCCATTCTTGCATAATGTGAGTCCTGACAGATAATTTTGGCATAATAGTGAAAATAATTAATAAAATAAAAAAGTATATAAATATTTTTAATTAGCATAAATAACAGCAAGTTTTTAAATATTAACAATCTGTGTGGGAATAATTTTTCTAAATTTAATTTTCAGAACGTTAGTCTTTTTGTATTACTGGCTTTATACTTGCTGTGATAAATCTCTACATATAAAAATCAATTGCTGGCCGTTAGTCTCGCAAAAACTCAAAAATGGATTGACTGATTTTGAGCTTTTTTTTGTGTGTATTTGAGTGCATCCCTGGATGATTTAAAAACTCAGTTGGACTCTGTAGGTGGCGCTGTTGTCGAGATCCAGAAATGCCGGGGTGGATCGCTAGACAACAATAAAGAATCAGGAAACTGATTTTATATATTTTACTACAACTAGCTTAGTTTACATGATGGGGATTGTGTTATGCAATTGCATGCTATTAAGATCAAATAAATCACTAATAAACTTCAATGAATGCCTTATTGATTTGCTACTAAATGATGTTTTATCACTTATGATTGTTATTAACATTAAGTATTAAAACTAAGTAATAAAGCAATATTTCATACAATAAATTCTGTTAGAACTTTAAAGCCTTTTGCATTTCCATTATAATGTCATCATGAATTGTGTTCCTGTTATCTCTGGTTACCTGTAATTATACAAAATATTTTAATGAGATTCGTCCCCACGAGATGGAGTGACAATCACATAAAACATGCAACAAAAAGTTAATGTATACAAGTGCCAGAGAACAATGTCTTGTGTACTTGTATAAATCAACCTTGTATGTTCCTTGGGGTAGGCCTATGTTCAGGAGTGGACATGTGAAGGGCTGTAATGATGATAATGATAATTTTAATTATCATTATTTTTAAAACTCACCAATTTAAAATACAAGCTAGTCATTATTACATGAAACTTAAGTCAAACAAACAGACAAATAATTTTATAACATTTGCTTATAGATTTTTTTTTTATATAAATGTGAAGTGATAAATAAACTTTCAGTCTGATAGTAAGTGTTGTTTATATCGTTGTTTTCTCTAATTTGCCTAAATGCTCTTTTTTTATTTTTGACACATATCACTTTATTTCCACACATACCAGGTTGACTGAGAGAGAAAACCAAAAGGCATTATGTCCACTCTTTGTAAACTTTTCTGTTAAGATGTTTTGTACTATTAAGTGTGAATAAATAAGTAAGTAAATTAATATAATCAGGTGTTACTTTGTCCATCCATTATATCAAAGGTTGTTTTAACAGTGGTAGAGCCACGCGGCAGCTTTTGCTGTCGCACGGATGGGCCCGCTCGAACCGGGGTGGTACCACGACCTCACAGAAAACCAGCGTGAAGTAGAGGTTTACCTCTGCGTTTCGCTTGGTGAGTGCAGGTGGCCGGAGGCCTTTTTTACTGGAAATGAGGCATTCCATCTTAGTCCTCACGGGTGACAGCGCATCTACATTTTGATTTGTAACAGAGGATAGATGTAGATGTCTATGGGCCGCAGCAACCACTTACCATCAGGTGGACTGTCTGCTCGTTTGTCACCCTTATCCTATAAAAAAAAAAAGGTGTCAAAAATTTATTTGGCTCAGTACTGCAGAATAAAATAAAATAATGTGTCTCACCAAGCTTGAAAAGCACTTCCCGTCCTCCCTTAATTGCGTGCACTATCCCCGTCACCAACAATCTAATCTACCGCTCTTAGCGGCCACCCTACAACAGTTTACTTCACCCGCGGATGCCTTGTGTAGAGGCGAAACACGTGTCGCATTATCGAGGGTGGTGTGTCCTAGTGTGTTGTTGGGAGTGGTGGTGCTGGGATTGGTGGGCACGGAGATAGTGCACGCAATGAGGGCTAATAATTTTCTGCTCACCAGATGTCGCTAGTTGACACTGAGGTAAAGTTTTTTGTTACACAATGTAATTTAATTGAAAAGTTGGTTTTTAATAAAAGTTTATCAGTTTCTAGAGTATTTATTATATTAATACACAAAACAATGCGTCAATGGTTTGCTCTATAATTTTTTGAACATTTTAAACTTTTTTTTTTAATTTTTCTACTTTTATGAATATATGTGGTTTGGTTAATTTATTTTTTCATCTTATTAATATAAAATATAGCTAATAGTACAGAAAGAAAAAATAACCTTTACATTTTCCGAACAAATTAACTTCCCCACTATGAAATCTGTCAAGCATTATATCTCACTTTCTAATGGCGCCGACCTGGTGGCGAAAAATTTGTGGATGCCCTCATTGATGAAGGGCGATGGGTGCTCTTCAAACTAGGTGAGATACATCATTTTATTTTATCGCATGGAACTGAGCAAATAAATTTTTGACACCTTTAAGTAAATAAATGGGCTACTGCAGCCAAAGGAAACCTGCAAGAACATCAAATAAAGAAGGCTACAGTTACAGATGCATTGTCACCTCTAAAGATGGAATGCCTTACTGTCTGTAATTATAATGGCTCTCTTTACCCTTCACACCAGAACACAGCAGTGTACGCACTGCTATTTGGCGGTAGAAATACGTAAGAAGTTGGTACCTACCAAGATAAACTCCAAGGCAGAAAAGGAATCTTACCACCTAATAAATGATCATATATCAATTATCATTATTACATTGAACAAGTTTTAAGAAATTTATTCATATTTCAGTAAAGAAGGTCCACTGCTAAACATAGAAGGCTCCCCACATAGGTTGGCTCATAATGAGAACTTTGTAATAGTTGCCACTCGGCAGATTTGCAACTGTATTTTTTTAGTAACCCGAGTTCAGATTTGATTATCCTATGTCACCTCTTATAACACCCACAGGATTGTATGGGGTAGTGGTATATATTAATGTTTTAACCTTGATTTTTAGTATTCTATTGAGACCCATTTGAATACTAATACTAAAAAAACTTGTTTTACATAATAAAATATATAAAAGACGTGGTAAATTTTATTTTTACACTAGCTGTTCCTCGCGACTTCGCTCGCGTGTTAGGGTTTTTATGTTTTTGCGCGGAACCCTAATTCTTTTTCTAAAATAAAAGTAGCCTAAGTTACTCCTTATGAAATCAGCTATGTGCCAGTGAAAGTCCCGTCAAAATCAGTCCAGCCGTTTCGGAGATTAGCCGGAACAAACAGACAAAAATTTTAAAAAATAGTGTTTTTGTTATAAGTACCATATATACTTTCATATGTATTTAGTAAAAAGCCGGTATTTTGACATTACAAACAGACACTTCAATTTTATTATTTGTATAGATAATAAAACAATTTCAATTTTTATAACATTTAGATTCTTCATTTACAATATATCATAGTCCTACAGACCAAATTTTGGTTAGGTCGGAGAGATTAGGTGCAGAACTACCAGTTTTATATGTGCTTTTGATTCCGGGTAGCTACTGAGAATTACTTGATAGAAAATCTCAATAACTGATTCTTTTTTGGCTCGACCTAGAACCTCATGATCAGTAGTTGCGTTTATGACCATTAAAACGATGAGGCAGTCAACTCATTTATAATAACTTTAACAGGTCCTCTCACTGGGTATTTTTACATGAAAATTTTTAACTTACCACCCACACTTTAGACCTGCTATTATTTCGTATGGACTCTATGAGATTGTCACTTTTCCTAATCGGTATAGTAGCTAGTACTACATCATTTGAATTAGGGCTGAAAATTTCTTTTATCTTTGTTTTGAATCTATCACTGAAGAATTCCATTTTTCCAATCTCATCTATTAAGATACATGTCCCATTCTCTGCAGGCTGAAATAAGGAAATAAATGAGTTACACTCAAAGAACAAATCTTGACATGATTCACATGGAATATGAGATGAGCCATATGAAAGCTTGTATTGTAGGTTTGTGCATTTGTGCTGCATTCATAATTAATGTTAAGCAAGGCTGAGAATTTGTTATGACAGCACAAATGCTTAGCCTTAACTACACAAGGACCACACTTACAACATCAATTTCAAACAATGGTTAATTGTTTTACCAGTAAGAAGACATTCCAACTAAATCCTCAGGTGTAAATTATGAAATAGACAATAATAACATAGTAATGCACATCAACTGCATCAGAACATCATTTATATTATATAATTAGTTAAATTAGGTAGTTACAGTGTCTTATTCAAGATAGACATAGGTGACTACCTACCCTTAGGTGAATTGTTTGTGTTGTTTATCACTCTTATTTTATAAAAATAATTTTTTGAACTGAAAACTTCTTTAGGCTATTGAGCAATTTTTGGTAGGGGTAAAACTTATGGGTTTGCTTCACCGATGACCTCGACATGCTCGTGACGTATTAGGCTTGCGTGCAATGCGTCACAAGCATGATGTCTACTATACTACGCGTCGCTAGTTTAGCTTGCGTAGTATAGGGGCCTATACGCATATAACATTAAGTTTTCACTTGTGTCGGCAGTCCTTAGGACTAACTTTTTTTTTTTACATATTTCTATAGTCCATTTAAATTTATTATGTAAAGAGGAGTATGTGATCTTTTCATGTAAATGATGTAATTCACATGCACACAATGCACTTTACTAATTGACAGAGACTAGAGACCCCAATTGATGGCAAAACATCAAGTTCACAACATTACTAGTGTGAGGGTAGTGGTTCTGTGCTCATTAATCAGTAGTGTAGGTATAGGTAAATCGTCTAAATAACATCATACTCTGGCTGTAGCATTCTTAGTTTAATCTATATTGGAATTTAAATATTTATCTGTTAATATTTCTCTGTGGGATGAAATCTGTAATGAGGATATCCACAGAAGAACAAGAATAACAGACAGCCCAGTGGATCAGTAAGCTGAAGTGGCAATGGGCTGGCTATACCTTAAAGAACTGACAACCGATGGAGAAAAAAGGTTCTTGAGTGGCAGCCTCGTACAGGCAAGCTCAGTGTTGGGCGACTTCCCACTGAACGGAGTGACACCTGATGAAACAAGCAGGTAATCTGTGGATGCAGGTGGCTCGGGACCATACATTGAGGCAATATATAGGTGAGACCTATGTTAAGCAGTAGACATGGATGGGCTGTAGTGATAAACATAACATTAGCATTAGTGTTACACAGACTGGTTTCCACAACTTCATGGCTAAGTGCATATTTAAAGGACAATAATGCTTAATCCTATAGTGAAACAAGACCAACTCTGGTTTTTATTGCAATATTTTTAAACAATAATGATTCTGTCAATAAAAAAAATATGAAAACTCATACAACTAAACAAATACCATGTGTATATGTTGTAGAACCATGCTGCAGCTATTATTAGTATAGTTGTAGCACAAATGGGTCTGCTTGACCAGGGAAGGACCACACTCTCACAGAATAGCAGTGTAAAATAGCAGCTTAATGCTACTGTGTACCAGATGGTGAGTGTATAGAACCGGAGACCCTTTTTACTGGGATATGAGGCATTCCATCTTAGTCCTCACAGGTTTTTCACAGGACAACACATCTGCTTTCTGATTTGTAATCGGAGATAGATGTAGATGTCTATGGCCATAGCAACCACTTACCATCAGGTGATTTGTTACCCTAACCCTATAACAATAAAACCATCTTCACTACAGAAAAATAGTAATATTATATCTATATAAATAAAATGGAAGTCCATAATCTCTGCCTACCCCTCTGGGTGACAGGCGTGAGTGTTTATGTTATGTTATGTTTATAAATAAAATGATAGAGGTTTGCAGTTGTACACGCATCAAGGAAAAACTACTGGATAGATTTCAATTAGGTTTTCTAAGTTTTATTTCTTAGACACTTGGCGGTTATCAAAAAAAAATTACTGCAATATCTTCATTTAATATAAAGTTATTAAAGTTTTAAGAAATAACGATTTTTATAACCACTCAGTGTTTAGTGATGTGTGTTTTCTTTGTTAATATATCAAGCAACGCGGACGAACTCTCGGGTATCAACTAGTATGTAATAATACTATTTTAAGTGATATTATGAATATGGCCGTAACATTGCACAGTTTTTAAGTTATTCTTGATCAAGCAATAAAACAAAAAATGCCCCGATTATAGCTGTCATTACTTTGAAGTACTAAAAAAATGGTTTGTTCTTACAAGCACAAAATAAACTTAAATAAAAAACCACAAGTTTTTAAATTAAAAAATACTATCATGGTATTTCTATCAATGTAAAAGATGGAATATGAAATTAATGTAGTACATGGTAGAACCATGCTTCAGCTATATTATGGTTGTAGCACAAATGGGTTGCTTCAAAAGGGGAAGGACCACACACTCACTAATTACCAGCGTAAAATAGCAGGTTAATGTTAAAATAAAATTTCGTATGGTTAGTGTAGAGGACCTGAGATCCTTTTAACTGAATACGAGGCATTCCAGTTCAGTCCTTAGGGGTGACAACGCACCTACATACTGATTCTTAATTGAGGATAATGTGCATGTCTGTGGACAAAGGTATTCACTTACCATCACATGAACTAAAACTAAAACAAGTTCTTCATTTTAAAATGTCATATTATTTAAAATAAAAAATAATATTTACCTTTATTAGTGATGGCAAAGCAACATCTTCAAATTCCTCTACCAGAACACCATATTTTCCAACTTTATATTTTACAGGCCCATCTAAAAGAGTCTGATCCCTAGCCAACCTGCCTCTTGCTCCTTCAAGAGTGAGAACATCAAAGCCTTCCCTAACCCGATTGTTTCTAACTTCTTCTGTGTAAAGCCCTATAACATTGACGCCTTTGCTGGAAAGTGCTGAAGATATCTTTTTCGCTAATGTTGTTTTTCCGACACCTAAAACCACTTATTTGGTAAAATATGTATTTTATTAGAATTAACCGCGTATTTTGAAAGTAATGCCTAACCAGGTTCCCCAGTAAGAATAAAAAATATTTTATTTTGTGCCATTGCAATTGCACCCCACAATTTAAAAATTAAAAATCACTTCATTATACACGTGCACAAAAACTATAATATATAATTATTTTAATTTTTTTAATGTTTTTATTTTAGCCAATATTTGTTAATTTGTTTGCTTTGTTATTCTGTCAAGTAGGCTTGGGCAAAAAATATCGATATTTCCATCTCATCGCGATATATCCATATATCGATATATATTTTAGAGTATCGAATTCGTATCAATTTCGATATATTTTAATATGTTGTATTAATGACAAAACATGTAACAACAAAAGGAGGTACAAAAGTATTCATGTGTGGTTGGCTGTCGTTTTTATTTCTTTTCGTTGTCCATTTTGTTCCATTGTTATTACATCGTGCAAATGAGACGATATATCGATATTTATCACGCGATATATATCGATACTGTTTAAAAATATCGATTCGATATATATCAATTTTGCCCATCCTTACCTACACAGTATTGGTAAAATAATCATACGAAGGTGCTGAAATTTGTTTTGCATTCAGACAAAGAAATTTTAATCGCCAAAATATTATTTTTTTAGTTTATGATCATTTTGTGAACAGGCCGCCATCTATCGTCAAGGTAGCTAAACTACATTGCAACATAGATATGGAACGATTCGAGTAGTTTTACTATTTACCGGTAGATGTAGATAGTGTAAATTGGGCGGTGCTTAACATCCCCTCACCTCGTAAATTGTCACGCGTTGTTACATAGTGAAATCTTATTTCAACACCCACCTCCTCTTTGTATTTGCTTCATGGTAGGTACTTCGATTCGCTTTGTGCAACCTCGCTTCGCCTCGGGCGACTTCCGACCGCTGTCGGTTTTTTGCGCCAGAGTCAAAGGACTTCGCGAAGTACCCCGAAGTTACAAGAAGCGTCTCACTACACTACTCGGCTTACGATAGTTTTGAATATGTTTTTTTTTATATGTAAATATTAAATATATAGCTTTCTACATACTTATTTATTTAGTTAACGCAATGACGTCGTATTGTTCACACAATTATGTACCTATAGCAACTGCCTTTTGGACGTCAATCATGTTAAGGGTGCGGGAGACTCAAGACGACTGAGCACTTCGCGAAGTCGAAGTCTAGTTTTTTCAAGTACCAGCACAGCTATTAACAGTGGTAGAGCCACGCGTCAGCTTTTGCTGCCGCACGGATGTTCCGGCTTGAACCGAGGTTTTTTTTATAGGATATGGGTAACAAACGAGCACACAGTCCACCTGATGGTAAGTGGTTGCTGTGGCCCATAGACATCTACATCTATCTTCGATTACGAATCAAAATGCAGATGCGTTGTTACCCGTGAGGAAGATGGAATGCCTCATTTCCAGTAAAAAGGGTCTCCAGTTCTCTACACTCACCATACGAAACACAGCAGCGTTAAGCTGCTATTTTACGCTAAACCGGTGGTACCACGACCTTACAGAAAACCAGCGTGAAGTAGAGGTTTACCTCTGCGTTTCGCTTGGTGAGTGCAGGTGGCCGGAGGCCCTTTTTACTGGAAATGAGGCATTCCATGTTAGTCCTCACGGATGACAACGCATCTACATTTTGATTTGTAATAGAGGATAGAAGTAGATGTCTATGGGCCGCAGCAACCACTTACTATCAGGTGGACTGTGTGCTCGTTTGTTACCCTTATCCTATAAAAAAAATAAGGAGCACGAGTGTGTGGTCACTTTCTTCGGACTGCGATTGACTTCGACGAGCACTTCGTCAAAGTTACTTCGCGAGTAGCACAGACCACACACTAATATGATACTACGTAAGTATCTTTACCTTATTCTTCTTTTCATTATATATTTTACTTTTCAGAAATACTTCCAGAAATTGTAAAAGAATCGTGTAGTAAATGTTCTCCAGTATAAAAGCAAACCGTGAGAAAAATAGTAAAATACCTGTTCGAGAAGAAGCTGGAAGATGCTTTGGAGTTGAAAGGCGAACAAATGGCGAACATGAGGCTGATTTTAGGGCGTTTGCAACCGGTTCAGACTAAAGCTAACGTTCCGCTTTTACTAAAGGACGTTCAAGGACGTCCTGTATCAAAGCTATTATGATTACGAGATTAGTTAATTATAATTAATACTACCACTTGGCAGTGATAAATTATAAACATATTAAATATGCATTGTTATTAACTAAATTAACGACTTTTGGCAAGAAATTTTTACATTGCCTATTATAATATATCCAGTTTTGCAAGCATGTGCTTAGTTTATTTTTATTTTCATTTTATTTAACCTAAAACTGCATATAATGCTAGTAATTATATAAAAAGCAAATCATTTTTACCAAAAAAAATGTATAGCACAAAGAAGACGATCATTTTATAATCCTAATCAAATGTCACTTTTACCTTCAAAGCCCGCTTCTAGCTGTTAGGCGCACTACCCTCTCGAGATCGGTCACCTCCCATTTCTACAGTTTGCTTTGGGCAGCTGGATCGAAGATGGCACCTTTCGCCACAGCCGTAGCACCAAGGGCTGTATCCTTTATTGCGGTTGCAAACTGTAGCCGTTGAAACCTCCCTGACGTGATGGGAACGATGATCCTGCCGCACGGCTTCCACCTCTTGTGCGTGGGCCAACGCGTCCTTAATCTTCTCGTGGTGCCTAAACCTCACAGCAGCTCAGACTTCAAGGTCGCAGATGCCGTCGATGAATGTCTGCACCAGGTTCCCCACAATGAGCGCAGGTACAGACTGGTATGCTTTCCGAACCAGCTCCTCCACCTCAAGGGCCCACTGCTGCAGGATTTCGTTGCTGCGTTGCACGCGATCTTTTAGCTGCGCACGAAAGACGTGTTCCAGGTGAGCGTCGCCATATCTCGCCTCCAGTGCCTCAACGAGCTGCTCGTAAGCCACTTCCTTACCGAGAGCTTCCAGAACAGTTAAGGCCTGGTCGCGCAGGCCTAGGGTGAGAGCACTCATGGCCTTACTTTTATTCCAGTCGTTCGCCTTCATAACAGCCTCGAACCGGACTTTTGTAGGCCGACCACGAAGAAGTCCCGTCGAACGGCGGCACTTTGAATCCACGTAGCGAAGGTGTTGTAGCTACCACGGGAGCTGTAATTCCATCCCCAAGTTTGAGGTCGTCCAGCGTTTTCTTCACGTCAGCCATCACGTTGTCAACCCGATTGTTCACTTGGTCGATTCAGTTTTCAGCTTTCGACAGGCGGCTCAAATGCGAAGGCGAATGTAATGTTAAGCAACTCTATCCTTCACCTTCCTTATCTCTTTCCTGAAGATAGCGTGAAGGTCCTTCCTGAGGAGCATCTGCTCTTCCATGCCGCGCTGCAGCTGCTCTTCCAACCGACGGGCCAGTTCCTCCTGTCTGCGGGCCTGCTCCTGCAACATCATCATCAGAGCACCTAAGTCAGGTGCTGCAGATGCAGGAGGTGCTGACGGGCTGGCCTCCGTGGTCGGCAGCTGGCCCTCCGATATCTGCGACGTTGCACCACCAAATAGTCTCTGGTCCGTCTCCAACTGGCGTTGACTTCGGGTACGGATACCCTTCGTGTCGTCTTTAGGTCAAATCGGCATATTTGATGCCACTTCTAACACCAATTATTACAAGCTTGGGGTTCGAGACAATTAAAAAAAACTGCCGATTGAATTACCAAAACTGACATTTTTATTACAGAACACTAATTATAACTTAAAACCACACTAGTAATGAAACACAATTGTACTACTAATCACTTTAGTTCGCAGTTGTATTGCTTCCAAAGACATTTAAGTAGTAGTAGTAATAGACCGGACATCAGCAGCAAAATTGTCGTCTGTAACTTTTGTCGTAGAGGATATATCTCCGATTTTTGTTTCAAAACTAGCATGCAGACTTAGTTCTGCAGCATATGCTGTAAAAAAGATTAGAAGTCTAACCAGTGTTGAAACAGCTAGACTAGTTTACTTTAGCTATTTCAATAGCATAATGTCGTATGGTATTTTGCTATGGGGACACGCAGCTGACACTGAAATTATATTTGTTTTACAGAAGAGGGCCATAAGAGCAATTTATAATTTAAAGCCTAAAGAGTCGCTGCAACAAAAATTTAAGGAAATTAATATATTAACTTTGGCCTCTCAATACATTTATGAAAATGTAATGTACGTACACAAAAATAAAAGTAGTTTTACAAAAATAAGTGATATTTATTCTGTAAATACTAGGAACAGATACAAGCTAGTAGTACCAGTTACTCGACTCCATCGAGTCAGTAATTCATTCTTGGGGCGATGTATACGCTTTTACAACAAAATTCCAGAAAATATACAAAGTTTGACCTGCTCAAAGTTCAAAAACTTTATTAAACTAAGTTTGTATAAAAAGGGTTATTATAATATTAAGGAATTTATGGATGATAATAACCCCTGGAAATGAGGTGATCGCTACCAAGCTATTTCTAATTTGTTGTGTTGTTAATTTGTGTAACACCATGATTGTAAGCTGTTATTTAAAAAAAAGTCCCGCTGGGTTTCTTGCTGGTTTTTCTCAGGACAGAGGTTTTTTCCGAACCAGTGGTAATCAAACAAAATAGTGACTTTCAATAAGTATTATTTATAATCTATATTGAATAAAAAAGTTTCTGTTTCTGTTTCTGTTTCTGTTTCTGTTTGTAATTTAGTCTTAGTGACATCGTCAAAAAGTCAAGACTCAAGACGCATTCGTTTCATATATTTAAAAAACATTTTTAAAGAAAATATGCCAAGTTGTGCATTAAGATATTGTAATTCACGATATGGAGCAAAAAATGAACGTGATTTCGATTTATTATCGTAAGTATAACATATATTTACCGAATAATCTAAAAATTTTATTATTTCTAGAAGATTGTTCTAGAACATTTATTTTTATTGTAATAAGCGCCCTCTGTTATCCAGTAAACGTCACTATTTAGTTACGAATGTAAAAGTTAGTAATTGACGACGTTATCGATTGGAGTTATCGATAAAAAAATATACAGGAT